AATTGGTGACACATACTCTAACCAATCCCATTAATCGCACTAAAATTGTGAATTCAAGTAGTTTTAACGGTCCAATATTATGTTATTTTCTGATCTATGTTATAATGTTTCCTCATCACAAACACACCTGGCATTTTGAATCACTTTGTGTACGAATTGTGCTTTACAAATAAACTTGCCTTGCCTAGACTTGCCTGGAGTTGTGTTTTGTTTCATTCACACATGTTTAACACACAAACTCTGCATATTTATACTGAGTTCTTCTCTCAAACAAAGACACTCTTCCACCTTGTGATGTCATGTGGTAATACAGGAAGTGCTTCATTGTGTTTTTAAACTCCACACACCTTCACTAGATTCATTTGGATGATTTCAGACCTGGGACTTCCTCTCTCTACTGAACTGAGATTGGCGTTGGTACTAAAATAAAAGGTAGCTGTTAATTTCGAAACTATGGCTTCGTGACATCACAAGGTGGAACAGAGCATTTTGAGCTTTGGAAATGTAGACAGGCTAATAATAAAGGGTTACTCAAACATGCGTGAACTCCAGGCATGTTTTTCATGAAGTAACAACATTCTAACATGACTTAAAGCTCTCAAGAGTCAATCTTGTGTAATATAGCTTTAACTCGAAGACATTTTTTCTTCCTTTTTTTGTGTGTGTGTGTGTGTGTGTGTGTTTCTATGCCCTTGTGCTTTTGACAGTTTACTTCAGCAGATCCGGATCAACTCCTCTGACATGTTTTAATCCGTGAGGAAAGATCTTACTGTTTCTGATGTTTTTGGAATCATCTAATCAAATTTGTCAGAGTCAAAAGTATTAACATTAATCAGCATTTACTCATGAGCGGTCCTTTGGGTTGTCCTCACTTAATCCTCGTTTAGATCTGCTCTAGTCCTTTGATTACGTAACCTTCAGGTTTTGGGTTCACTACCTGCTTGTATCCATGGAGAGGATATTGCTTTGCCTAGAATGTCCCAAGGTCTGGCATTAATCCTATCAATGTTGCATTTATTTAAGTGTTTGGGAAATACTTTCTAATTGTGAGTGGGTGGTTCCTTCCACAGATCTGACCTGCTTGTCTCCATGGAGATTGATAATATTTGGGCAATAATTTGGGACATTTTTGGCAAACATTTCAAGGGAGCAGATGACAGACCATATACAAGAAAAGATACACAGTGCAGCTTTATACCAGGTCCTATTTAAGGCCTGTTTTAGCCTGTTTTGCCTCCATCTACTGAAGTAAAGTTAAAAGGAAAACTACCAATACATGACATCACAAGGTGGAACAGACCATTTAGAGATTTGGAGATGTAGACAGACTAATACAGGATTACTCAAACACGTGTGAATGAAACCAAACACAACTCCAGGAATGTTTTTGAGGAAGTAACACAACATTATAACCATGACTTAAAGCTCACAAGAATCTGTTTTGTTTAATATAAAACCTTTAAACTTTGGTTGTTGGTTTAGTTCTTTTTAGTGTTGATTTAGACCTGGCTAGAGCTGGTGCATTCCTGATTTGCCTTGGAAGTTTAAACCTGGAAAACCAAATCTATCCGGAGGTGAAATGACTTAACGTGAAAAGTTCGACAGCCATTTGTGTACCAGCTTCTAAACCTTCAAACGCGTCTTGAGACATGGCTCCAACTGAAGCCATCCTCCGCTCGGCTCAGACAAGAATGCGCCCCTGCTGAGGAGACTGAAATTGTGGTTAGTTTACATGCACTCACTCACTTAAAGCTTTCTTAAAGGGATTGCAACATTATTGAAAAACAAGACAGTAAACGCATCACCAGACAGGGCCTTGGAATAGAGTTAAAAAGACTAAGATTGATTTTTCTTCATAATTCAGAGTTCAGATCACCGTACCTGGAGAGAGGACCCATCTTCAGACTCATACTCATTTCCCTTTTTGTACTGATACTTTGCAGTGATTGTGGGTGTTCTACGTGTATCTCTACGGTGGAATGTTCAGCAGTTATCGTGGAGACACAGTGCACATTTGCAAACACTGCCAAAAATGTTTTAAGATAGTCTGAAAACTCAACAAAAAATACAAAATAGATTAAAACAGCACATTTTCAGGAGCCTGTCAATACAATTGTTTTTAGGAGTTTGATTTTCGACAAAAAAATGTGAGTGTGACTAACTGTACTAGCTATCTTGTGACTAGTTTTGTGTGTGAGAGACTTGTTTGATAGTTGATGTTGTAGTTTGTACTAAATCAGCTCTTTCTGGTCAGATTTTGTTGAAACTAACTAACTTGAGTGACTATTCAGACAGAGCAGTGCTTCAGTTAGCTTCACATCCTCAGGGACTGTTGATGACATCAGCTGCAAAGTATCAATAGTTGATCCTTGTAAATAGCCTTTACAACTATTAAATAACTATTTGATTGATTCTTGCATTTGTATAGTATGGGTTTCAGTTTCCTGTTCATAGGTGCCATTTTGTGAACTTTTCATCGTTCAAAAGTTGGAATATATTATTTTGAATTGTTAGTTGCTATGGCAATGGTGTTAATTTATCGTCGCTCTGAAATCCATGGAAGAGTAGTGTCTGTGTATTTGCAGAGACTAACAGCGATCCTTAAATAAACAATAAATAAACAAACCCATGCGACCTGCTAAGTGATTTACTCCACAAAACTAGAAGGCTGCTTCAGGGAGGGCATCTGGGGTAAAAAACTATGACAAACCAAACCAGTACATGAATGATTTGTGAGTTTGGATCTTGTATTGGGCAACACACACTGGTTACAAACTAAGACCAGCCCTTTCCGTTCTTGGACCTGATCAAACGGCGATCCCTGTGGCCTCTGGGTAATTGCTTCCACATTGGTCAGGTTTGTGGTTCAGGTTTGTGGTTCAGGCTTTGATCCAGGGTGGTGGTCCAGGTTCGTGGTCCAGGTTCGTGGTCCAGGTTCGTGGTCCAGATTCGTGGTCCAGATTCGTGGTCCAGATTCATGGTCCAGATTCATGGCTCAGGTTCGCGGGTCAGGGTTTGTGGTTCAGGCTTTTGTCCAAGTTTGTGGTTCAGGTTAGTGGTCCAGATTCGTGGTCCAGGTTCGTGGTCCAGGTTTGTGGTTCAGGGTTTGTGGTTCAGGCTTTTGTCTAGGTTTCTGGTCCAGGTTTGCGGCCCAGGTTTTGGGTTCAGGGTGCAGATGACAGACCATATACAGGAAAAGTTACACAGTGCAGCTTTAAGCCCTAGCCTGTTCTGCCTCTCTGAAGTAAAGGTAAAAGGAAAACTACCGCTACATGACCAGCACAAGGTGGAATAGAGCATTTTGAGATTTGGAGATATAGACAGACTAATAATACAGGATTACTCAAACACGTGTGAATGAAACCAAACACAACTCCAGGTCTGTTTTTGAGGAAGTAACAACATTATAACCGTGACTTAAAGCTCACAAGAGTCAGTTTTGTTTAATATACAGTAGTGCCTTTAAACTCGGTTGTTGGTTTAGTTCTTTTTAGTGTTGATTTAGGTCTGGCTAGAGCTTGTGCATTCCTGATTTGCTGTAGTCTTGGAAGTTTAAACCTGCAAAACCAAATCTATCCGGAGGTTGAAATTACTTAACGTGAAAGGTTCGACAGCCAGGTTTTGGTTCAGGGTTTGTGGTTCAGGCTGTGGTCCAGGCTGTGGTTCAGGTTTGTGGTTTGGGGTTCAGGTTCATGGTACAGGTTCTTGGTTCAGGTTTGCGGTTCAGGTTTGTGGTTCAAGGTTTGGTTCAGGTTTGTGGTTCAGGTTTGTGGTTCAGGTTTGTAGTTCAGGTTGTGGTACGGGTTTGTCGTTCAGGTTTGCGGTTCGGGTTTGGTGGTTCAGGTTTGTGGTTCGGGTTTGTGGTTCAGGTTTGTGGTTCGGGTTTGTGGTTCAGGTTTGTGGTTCGGGTTTGTGGTTCAGGTTTGCGGTTCGGGTTTGTGGTTTGGGTTTGAGGTTCAGGTTTGAGGTTCAGGTTTGTGGTTCGGGTTTGTGGTTCAGGTTTGCGGTTCGGGTTTGTGGTTTGGGTTTGAGGTTCAGGTTTGAGGTTCAGGTTTGCGGTTCGGGTTTGTGATTCAGGTTTGTGGTTCGGGTTTGAGGTTCAGGTTTGCGGTTCAGGTTTGCAGCTCAGGCTTCAGGTTCAGGTTTCAGGTTCTGGTTTGTGGTCCACAGTTTTATCTGAAGTGTGAGTTTTTAAACATTATGAGGATATAAAGCTGTAACCTGCTTAGCCTCTGTCAATAAAACTCACAGGGTTTAGTTCGACCATGTTAACATCAAAGACCTCAATGTAGTGATGTTATCTTTAAAGGGGCACCATGTAACTTTTATAGTGGGGGGGTGGGAGTTAGGGATGGCTGCTACTTATTCGCTTCCATAGAGATTTTATTGCTTTGCCTGGAATGTTCCACAGTATGGCATTATTTACTTTACTATTGGCATTACTGTGTAGTAGAAAATGCACACAAAACCAGTAAGTGTGTGAGCAAAATTTACGCTTAATTTATGTATTTATTTTACTAATCTTTATTTAACCAGGTGAAAAACCAATGAGATCGAAATTCCTTTTCAGTGGTGACTTTATAGCACGGCTCTTGTGTTGAAATGCTTTGTTACAAGTTGTGTAAACTTAATTGTGTTTTGTCTGTGTGAATTTTAAACATTACACTATAGTTTATATTGTCCATTCAACAGGTTTTTGATTTCACGCTGCCCTGAACTTAGTGTATGTCTTTGTCTGTGCTGCCATCTAGTGGTAAAAGTGGATTTTTTTTTTAAGGATTTTTGTCTTTCCATTGATATTTATTTTTATATAAACTGTGTACTATTTAACATAGGGTAATGCCAGTTGCTTTAAACTAGTTTGTAAAATGGCAAAACATTTATATTAAAACCATTCCCTGATGTAAATTTATTGAGTTTTGTATGTATGTATCTGAACAACTATTTCCACAAACCACCAGTAGGGGGCAGGCAAATAAAAAACATGACAGAATAAAAGGTTTAGTTTGTAGTTATTTTTATATTATTAGTGTTTTGGATTTTTTTTTTTCAAATATATAATTAAATGAACAAATAAATAAAAGTATCCATCCATTAGTTCTTCAGTCATTCTCATCAGTTATTATAGGAAATAATATTAAAAGAAATCATTCTAATAAATATAAAACTATATTTTAAGTCCTTAAGTCTTGGCTGATCCATTCAACCACCATGTTGGCGACTTGTGCTCCAGCGTCCAGGACAAACGCGTGACGAAAACCGTTTTCACAAAGTCTAAAATCTCCATCTGGAAAATCCCTCTTTATGTCGTGGTAATACTCCACAGGACACCAGTGATCTGTCGCTCCATAGTAAAAGATAAGCTGGAAAATAAACATGATGTACATTTGTATGTTTAAAATCACTGATGAAACAATTTTGGGATATCAAATTATTACGTTCATACGTCCATATACATTCATTATGATCATACTTCCATATACAAAGATCAGGACTTAACTCAGACTTAACTCGGACTAAACCAGGACTAATACAGGACTAAAACAGGACTAGAATAATATCAAAACAAGTCTACATCCAGACTAAAGCAGGATTAAACCAGAAAGTGTGAATAGTTAGTTAGTAATATAATGAATGACTTTCTTACCTTATTTAGATGTTTTTTAATAGTTGCATTGTCTCGGTCTAAAACTTTCTTCATTTCTTGACCTCCCATGTACATTGCATTAGCTACAGAGAAACACAAAATACATGTTCATTCTTTCAGTCTTCTGTAGTAAGCTAAGGTTAAAATGCTAATTAAAAAATATTATTGTGAAACGGAAATTCAGATTATACAACTCTGACAACAGAAAGTTTAAAGATTCAGTATTAATTTCCTGAACATGAGTATCTAAACAAAAATAGTCAAATTTTTTTGCCCCAAGTCTGAAACCACATGCGTTTACTGACAGACGACTGGCTGTAGACCATCCATTCATCTATCCATTTTCTTCCGCTTATCCGGGGCCGGGTCGCGGGGGCAGCAGTCTAAGCAGGGACTCCCAGACTTCCTTCACCCCAGACACTTCCCCCAGTTCCTCTGGAGGGATCTCAAGGTGTTCCCAGGCCAGCTGAGAGACACAGTCCCTGCAGTGTGTCCTGGGTCTTCCCTGGGGCCTCCTTCTTTTGGGACATGCCAGATCACATCCCGAGGGAGGTGGCTGTAGACCTCTCAATTAAAAAGAACCAAGCTGATGTTTAGTCTACAACTACATCAAAGGTGCACTGTGTAACTTTTTGGTTGAGGTTCTGTCACTTGCTTGTTTCTATGGATTTGTCATTGGTCTGCCTGGAATGTTCCACAGTATGACATTATTATTATTATTATTATTATATATAATTATAGCTCATAAATACCTAGAAAAACATACATTCTAACTGTAGGCAGGGTCATCTCTCCACACATCTGACCTGCAATTTGGTATGGTTTGATTTCCGTGAAGAAGGAAAGGTTTAATACCATACTGTGAAACATTCCAGACAAAAGCCTTTGACAGGCCCTCCACCAAAAAAGTTACACAATTGCACCTTTAACATTAAATAGTAAAATCGATCAATCCTGTTTTGTTTTTATTGGTGGTTTTCAGATTATACACTGTGGTTATGTCATATTCCCAGGCCATTTTGAAAGTTCCATATTTTATTTCGTGGTTGTAAATCATGACATCACAATAGGAAATTCAATAACTGTTACCTAGCAACCATACTGTACACTGGGCCAAAACTCCTCTTATGTACACATACATTATTATTTGTCAAATAAAATCTAAGAAAATACATTTGTTTAGTTTAAATAATATTTAAAGTATCAGAAAAATGTGTTTCTTGTGTGTAAATTGTGGCAATATTTTGGATAGAATTCTCCCTAGTGTGATCATCAATAAAGAACTCTCGACTTTCTGTAATTTTCAACATATTTTTCAGCTTTTCTTCACAAACGGCTTCTTGGTTGGTATAGAAGTATAATGTAAGTTTACAACACCAAATTAAGCAAAAAATAGAGAATCATTAAAAACACTTCAACCTGAAAGAAAGCAATATTCTGCGTTAGTTCCACTGACCTGCACAGTCTCCACTGAGCAGCCCCACAGTGGGTTGTATTATGGCCCTGTCCAGAGAGCTGATCCCTCCCAGCACCAGTCTGACCAGGCTCTGTTTGAGAGGGTCGGGCAGCAGCGAGAGCAGGAACACGGGGAAATACGCCATGTACCGGAACTGGCAGATCACCGGGGTAACCACTCTGCCCTGAGGGGTCTGGGCCATGCGCTCGATGGTGGGGAACAACATCACAGCTTTTAGGACCTGAAAAACATGAGTAAATAACCAATTAAAGGCACTGTATCTGATTTTTACTGTGTTAAAAGTGTGGGGGGAAAAAAATTGTCCATTTTAAGCAGTTTGAAGTGGTCCAAATTTATTCCTCACTTACCTTATGTATTCAAAGCATCCTAATAATTCACCACAATGAGTTTATAAAAGCTTTTCACAACTTTCCAGAGGCCATTGCACAGTTTTGCCGTGACAGTAAAGCCAACAACAACTATCATGCTAATGCACACTTCCAGCTTATTGGACAATTAAATGCTTTCTAATTAAATGTAGACAGTACGCTGCTATACTACTACTTGACTTCAAGAGTTGCTTATACAAAATATCTGTACTTTTTATTTATCTGTATTTTTTAAATAAACATCAGGTATTTTGATTGCTAAATATTACCTTGAAAAACATGTATTCATGCTGAGCTGGGTCACCTCTCCACAGATCTTACCTGTAACTTGTCAACTGCTTGTCTTTATGGATATAGATAAATTGAATTATATTGTGGAATAACCCAGGCAAAGAAATACCATGTCAAGCAGGTGGCAGACCCTCCACTAGATAAGTTACATAGTGCATCTTTAAAATATGAAATCACTACCTTAAGCTCTGGGTCTCTCTTCATCATTTCCAGGATGATGTAGCAGCCGATAGAGTGACCAACGAGAATGAGGCGAGTTTCTCTGGGCACGTGTTTTCTGAGGAAGGCGAGTTTGTGTTCAATCTGTCCATTTATCCCAAACACGTCCAACTCTGCTGCTAAAGATGAGTCTGCAAAACAAGGAAGAGACTGTAAAATAAGAATATTTATATGAGTGATAACTGGCAGGGATGAGGAAATGCACTGCTTTGTTGCAGAAGAATTACAAAACAAAACAAACAATAAAACAATGGCCAATCAGTTCATGAGAAACCAACTTCTTTACACTTTCCCAGACACTTGATTATTATGGTGCATTTTCAAGAGTGACAAAAAAATTTAATTAGCTGGAGATTGGAGAATTATGAGAAAACAACACACTAGACTCTCCCAGTAGTTTCTGGGTGGACTGGAGTGGGTGGGGCTAAATCTTCAAACTAAAAGATGATCCTGACTCATGGTTGAATGGTACAAAATGAGGTACAGATCCTTTAATATTGTAATAATAATATACTACGTGATTTGAATATGATATGACTCTGTGCACAATAGCGCCCAGCAACCACCCTGTTTTTTGTTATATCTATGTGTTGTTATTGTAGTTTTTTTGCTGAGTCATGCTAAAATTAAGAAACAATGCTAATTTTGAGGCATTTTAAATATTAAAACAACACCACAAACCAAAGTTATCTATATTTAAAATAATTGGGTAGTCTATATTTTACGATTAATAATTGTTTGTGTTTTAGTTGTACCTTCCACCATGTCCATGTGGTCTGGAGGCTCACAGTGTCCCGCATGAGAAACAGCCCAAACAGGGGTGTGGTGGTTGAACGCTCGGTGCAGAGTTTGCATGAACGTTGTGTAGAAGCCGACCACACCTGGATTACCTGTCCATAAAAATAATGAATCACTAGAGATACAATATCTTAGCCAAGGGTTTTCCTTCATATGATTGATACTAGGGACGTGACGGTATCCAAATTTCTCTGTACAATATTTTAACAATACGCATCTCACAGTACGATATATATATTGTAATATTTTGTGGAAGCAAAATTCTGAAAATACTACTTTACAAGCCTTTGGTTCTGTCATAATCAAATCTCTACTCAAAAAAAGTACAATTAATCCAAAAAATCTACTCAATTACATTAACATATGTATTTGTAATTTATTTTTTCCTATCCCTGAATCTAGACCTGTAGCTGTAAACTCACCTGGAATAACAAGGATGAGAGTCTCGTGTCTGGACTGTAACGTGCAGCTTCCATATTTCAACACCTCCGTTATGGCCCCATTACAGTAAACAAACTCAGCGCTTGGTCTGTCAGTGCTGTCTGTCTCCAAGCTCCCCATATCTGGATAAACATACAGTGAGTACAGTGCAAACACAGAATGAATAAGCAAATATTTAAAGGGCCTATATTACCCTATTTTCTGTTATAATGTTGTTTCTTCATCACAAACACGCCTGGAGTTGTAAAAAAAAAAAAAAAACAATATTGGAGTGCTGCACTGGATCAAAACTTATGCATAGGTACCAAAAGGTGCTCATCAGACCAGAGTGCAACAATTCTTGTTGAGTAGAAAAAAGGATGGCATAGGCACTCTGATTTGCAGTGTATTTATTAATTGTCACACCAACGCATTTCGACTACTTAATCTTCATCAGGGCTGATGGAGTGAGCAGCAGGTGTGACACGTTATAGGGGTCAGACACATGATAATTAAAATCAAAATATCCAGAAACACTATACATGTTGAATCCAAGTATATCAACAACATACCATTCATGAAGTTGTGTTTGTTTCATTAACACATGTTTAACAAACAAACCTAAAATGCTCCACTGTGTTTTTAAACTCACCTTCAACAGAATCATTTGGATCATCTCGTCCCTTGAATGGGCAATCTCTACTGAACAAAAGGTAAAAGGTAGTTGTTAACTTAAAAACTACCACTACACTACATGACATCACAAGGTGGAACGGAGCATTTTGAGCTTTGGGGACTAATAAAGACTCAAACATGTGTGAATGAAACAAAACACAACTCCTGGTATGTTTTTGGGGAGGTAACAGTATAATGCAATAACATGGCCTAAAGCTCACAACAGTCAGTTTTGTGTAATATAGGACCTTCAGTTAGGGTGACCAGACATTTACCTGGGACAGTCCCAGTTTTGAGCCCTGTGTCCCCTGTCCCAGCAGATTTATCCAAAACCAATGATTTGTCCCAGGTGTCTTTATTTTTGACCAATTTGATACCTACCAACAGTAAAGTCAGGTATAAATTGTCATTTGTTTAGGAAAAATCCAGAAAAGCTGTATAAAAATGACCAAAACACAAAGAAAATATGACTATGCTGACTGACATGTTAGTCGTGAATAAATCATGAATGGGATGAGGGCAGAACAATTTTCCTTTATTATGCACTCCTTTCACTGTTGTATTATTACCAACCACTACGGGAGTGTCCCAATTTTTGGCTGTGAAAATCTGGTCACCCTATCTTTACTATAACGTTATGCTGATTAAAAGTGCTTACCTTAAAATGACAACTTAAGAGGTAGAGAAACGTAGGTTCACATAAAATTGTATTGGGGATTTTTCTTTCGTTGGTCTGACAACACAGAGAGCAAAGGTTCAACATTTTATCAACGACAAGGTTCAGTTCGAGCTAACAAAGATAACTCATGTAGCTTAGATCGAAAAGAAAAAAAAAGAAAAAAAAAAGCACAGTTACATAAGGAAACATGCGAAATACGTAGAATTTTGATGCATTTTACTTAAATTTCCTCATATTATAAATCAAACAAAACATACTTATACTCTATAATAAGTTTTACGATTAATAAACTCTATAAATGACTATAGTGATCATGGTTATATTAGTACATGTTCAAAAACACAAGCATCTCTAATCGTACTGAAATAAACACTGGAATTTTTACGATTATAATAACTTGAGAGTAAATACTTAGTGATAAGAAATGTTACGCTGAAATATCTGGATGGCAGTGTTATAATGCTGCTTACCTTTTTATTCAATTATATATCTGAGATTAGAAGCAAATTTCATTCAAAATTCTAGTCCATCCAAGGTACTTCCGGGTTTACATCCGGAAGTTTGTATCTGATTGGTCAGGATCATACACGGTAACTTGTGCGCCCTCTGTCGGTATAATGATGACTTGTTCCTTTAACACGGACTATACTGTTAGGTGGGCCTTTTACATTGTTTTACTCATTACACTATTTATTTCACTACTCCGATAAACATGTGACATTATACAAGGCTAAGTGATTATTTTGGCCCATATAATTAAAATTATGCTACAAATTTGGGAATTTTGTATTCTATATAATTTATATATAAATTATTTCTTCTTCATCATACAGTCTATGGTATAACTAAAAGACTGATATGTTACCTGTGACACAAGTAACAGTTAAAATTTTAAGATTTAACTTGTAAATTATAGTTATTATACATGTAAATAGTTCTGTATGTATTTCTGTAGTAATGTGTAGTATTTCTCTCTCCTGATCTCCTGTTTTATTTTATTTATTTTGAATCATCCCTTTATTATTATAACTGCTATGCTGCTATGTAATGAAATGGTCGTCTGAAACATAATAGACAAACACTGTTTTGTTAATAAATGTTTAATTGATATAAAATTAAGTTTCAATTAAGACTTCAACAATGGTCACATTTGGTTTAGAGTCATTCCATGAAATCTGTGCATTTTATGTCCTTATAATCACAAATGTGTGTGCCTTGAGCCTGTCCCTAAATAGGATCATTGTTTTTAAAAAGAAAACAAAAAAACACTTTTTTCTTATAGCTCACAATTTAAAATAAAATAAATAATTTTCATTAAAAATTTAACACTTTAAACCTGTCCCGATACCATTCCTGTTACCATCACTCAAAAAGGCTCCAGTCTTTAAATCCTTCATCATCTAAGCTCACTGACATATTTTACAGATATTTAACACAAAATAAAATATCTAAAACAATGCATTATTTCACATTACATAGAAGCATCGGTGTCAAACCACTCCCTCGGTAACGTTGGCCATTCGCTAAATGATTTCCATAGAAAAGGTAAAGGAATTTCAATCTCTACTCTTTTCCCAGTCATTTTTACATAAGGTGCTGTGCTCTCTGAAGCTTTTGACATGAACTCTATGCCATTTTTAAGTCCACTGTGAACTTTTGTCTGTAAAAATCCCACAAAGTCTTTAACCTCTTTGTTTACATTGTCCATTTCAAACGAGATGTAAAGATTGTGTATAACTTCTTTAGTAGAGTCCTTGTATTCTGCTATGACACCACTTGCTTTCCCAGTTTGCTCTTTTGATGATTGTTTAAGTTCCACAAATACATTTTCAATTTTAGGTGCAATTTTCTTGTTTTCATTACTAAGATAATTAATAAAATCCTGACCCTTTTCAACAATTAATTTGAATAACTCATTAAACTTGTTGGACCAATCTGTAAATGCATTATTTATCTGTCTTTTATAGTGATTTAACTGTTTCAAAATCTCTTCCCCACTTACAAAAATATCTGTTCCTGGTATCGTGAACTCAATTTCTTTAATTCTCTCGATAATGTCTAAAAGTTCTAAGAATCGCTGAATCACCATCTCTGTGATTTGTTCGGAAACCGCGCGGATTTTCTCAGAAATGTCCACACCTGAAATCTGCTTTTCGTAACCTGGAATTGTGATCTGTAATTCCCTTAAATATAAGTGGAACTTTGGCTCTAATTCTGTTATCTGTGTCCATAGGAAGTTCATAATATTTAAAAGCTTTTCTTCCACTTTATCGACAAAATCTTGCAGGTTGAAAGACATAAGATCATCTGACGCTTTCTTGTACATGTCTACCCCTTTATCACTCATCTGTTCTATAGTATTCTGTAGTCCATCAAAAGATACAGGAAATTCATAATAAGCTCTCTCCACTGCATTGGACAGAGTGTTTTTAAGTTTCATACCCCCGCGGTTTAGGTCAAATCCAAAGTGTGAGATGTGGTATTTGTTGATAACTTTAAGAATAGCTTCATTTAAAGCAGGAATTCGCTCTTTCGTTGCTTCCATCACGTCGCGTAGAGTGTCTATGTTAAAGGACGACTGCAGGGAGAGTTTTTCTGAGTTTCGTAGAGTGGCTTTAAACGTGAGGAGATCAGTGTCTTTCTCTGGAGTGGCCTGAATTGAAAAAAAAATTGGTAAGTTAGAGGTGCATTGTGTACATTTTCTGGTGGAGGGTCCGTCAAATGCTTTTCTCTGTGGAGATGTTATTGCTTTGATTGAAATGTTACATACAGTATGATATTAAACTTTTCTATCTTCATGGAGACAAAACCAGAACAAGTTACAGGTCAGATCTGTGGAGTGGCAATCCCGCTCACAGTTAGACTGCCTGTGTTTCTAGGTATTTTTCTGTAATGTAATAAACGTAGGCCGAGCTGCTTAATATCATAATGTGGAATATTCCAAGCAGATCAATGACATATCCATATAAAAAAGCAGGTGATGGACCTCCAGCCAAAAAGCTACACAGTGCACCTTTTACATAATTTGCATACATGCTTAAATCTACCTTGTATTGCACTTACCAAAACCCAAGTGTTAGGGTTAGATAATACTGTACATTTCAAATTTGATAAGGAGAAAGCTCAATACTGCATACTGATTTAGATATCAATGGTTATGAAAGACTTGTAGAAAAAGAAAGAAACATCTGTCAAAGAATAAAACTAAAATAGCTGTACTTACTTAGTTTAGCAATGCCAACCAGACTAAAAATGGCTATGGCTATTACATGTATGACTCTGAAGTTGTTGAATAATGAGTAAGTCAAGGGCAGTGGGTGGAGATAGGTGGAAGCAATCAAAATATCACTTTGAGTAAGCCAGTGTTGACATTAAACCATTATAATATGGTTACATTTTGCATAACATGTCCCCTTTTATGTTAGCATATGTCTTACCAGATAACGGATAAAGACTTTTCCAAACACTTGGGATGGGGATCTCCTTTGCAGCTGAAATCCGAGGAAACCATTTGTAGGAGACGAGACAGATGCAGTGACGCCGTCTTTACGAGCGGCCATGCGGTATCCCACATCAGCGAATAACGGACTGGTGATGTCAACCGTGAGCGTGTGGGAATATACACTAAAAACAAGGGGAAAACAGGTTAGACAAGTTTATTTAAACGGCAAACACAAAATCGACTCTTGTGAGCTTTAGGCCATGTTATAATGTTATTACCTCATCAAAAACACACCTAGAGTGGTGTTTTGCTTGAATAACTCTTTATCATTAGTCTGTCTACATCTCCAAAGCTCAAAATGCTCTGCTCCACTTTGTGATGTCATGAAGCAGTAGTTTTCACTTCAATCGACATTAGCAATTCCAGGTCTAAAATCATCCAAACAATTCTAGTGAAGGTTTGTGGAGTTTAAAAACACAGTGGAGCACTTACTGTATTACCACATGGCATCACAAGCTGGAATACAGTGTTTTCTATTTAAAAATGTGTGAAACCACGACTCTAGATATGTTTTTGATGAGGAAACAACATTATAACATACATCAGAAAATAGTGTCATATGGGCCCTGATGGCAGACACTCCAACAGAAAAGTTACACAGTGCGCCTTTAAGACATATTACATAACATAATGGAAGATGGTTGTTGCACTTACTAAGGATCAGATGTTGAGGTTTGACGTTTCATTCTGTCAAAACAAAAAAGCAAGATTATATAGTTTGGAGGTCAAAAATTACATTTAAATTCACAGAAAACTTAAATCAAAATACATAGATAAAAATAGTACTAACAATTTGTTGTGTCTAATATTTTAGGCCATAGAAAATGAAATAAAATTAGACTACAAAGAAATGTATTTAATTAAAACAGTAAATAATGGTCATGACTATGTGTCTTACCTTGGGGTTCTGAGGAAATTATGTTGCCATTTCACATTAACATCACTGTGAACAAAGTCAATATTCCCCTTGAGGTTGAACATTTTATCATTAAATCCAGCAGTTGCAGAAGCTACGGGAAAAAATAGCAAAAATATTAGAAATGGGACTATTAGCAAGGGTAACGGCATTGACTATAAATGGGGTGGGAGATAACGCTAATGCCATTTACCTTGTGACTGTGATATTATTTGAGAACAACACAAATCATCTCACCTGTTATAGTTCTAACTAAACCATCTCTTTCTGGTCAGACTGTGTTAAAATAAAGCTCAGATCCAAATCTAACAAGCTCAAGCTTCAGATAGAGCAGTGCTTTCTAGGGATGTAACAATAACCGAAATATCATGATATCGTATCGTCAAATATCTCACAGTAATCTCGGGGACCGTCACAATATATCGAATTACAAGTCTCTTTGCTTACATTAATAGTTATGGTACAGCAATAGCCCCCCCAAAAAAATAGTGGGAAACTACATAGACGATGATTCTTTGCTCCGTTTCCATGCAGACTACATGAAGAAATAATTTATAAAAACTTTCAAATCTTAGTTCTTTGAATTATGAAAAACTAAAGGCTGTTCAAGACATTTTAAGAGGAAAAAGTTGCATATTCACAGTTTTGTAAGCCTCCACAAAATATCACAATAAATAATGAACCGTGAGATGTATGTCGTGAAAATATCGTAGATTAAATATCGGGAGATTTGGATATCGTTACATTGTTACAGTGCTTACAGTTAGCATCACACCGGGGAATGTTGATGACGTCAGCTGTAAAGTACCAATATAATACCTTTATCGATATACTGTATCTCCCACCTTCAGCTATAAAACATATTGGTCTTACCAGTGAGATCATACTCCAAGAAGATCATCGTGGACATGCAGATGGACTTGAGACCAGTTATCAGGTTGGACCCTCTCTTTTCCACTTCAGCAGTGGTAGAAACATTATAAATTGGAGAAGCAACTTTAAAGGTGGCACTGAGCGCTCCGAAATTTGGGATGAAGATACTGGTTGGCAGGTACAAGTCCATTTCTGGGATTTCAATCGTCTGTTCTGGTATTACAATAGTTGGAAGCTCAAAGTTTGAAATGTAGTTTTTGACATCATCTAGATCAATAGTGAGGTCTCCAATACGGACTGATTTTGGTAGCGCGAAAAAGGAAACCATAACATTATATTGTGGAATTTTTACTGAAAGGAATGACATTTTTTCTTGTAAATATTCCACATTGATTTCGTAACTAGGCACGGAAATTATTGGTAATCCAGGAATCATGATGTCAAATGCCTTGGTTGTTATAACTTTGGGTATTTCCAGTTGTTTCAGATCATAGACAAATGGTTCAACGTGCAGGTTGGTGAACGGTAAACTGAATTCAGGTACTGACAAAACAGGAGGGAAGGTTACGTAGTCTGGTATTTCAATCTCCTCAAGTCTCATGTCTATTTTTCTAATTGCAGCTGGGATTTCTGTGAGGAAATAGGGTACGGGGACGGTAAATCCAGGAATTATTAACATAACACCGTCTTCAAAAAGTCTATAAGATAATCCATATTCTTGTCCATCCATTGATTTCGTATAGACAAAGCTAGATGAGATGTTGAGCACTTGCAAATCGTCCATATTCGTTACCTGGTCCAGCTTGAGCACGTCCCACAAGTTTTTCTGATATACCGGAATCCTTACTGATTTCAGAAAAGCCAGATGCCCTTCCATGGATTCACTCAAGTCCACGCGAGCTTCACTTTCTTCACTGGTCATGATAACATTGCAACCGTGAATAAATGAAGCTATCTGTTCTTTTGCGATCCAAGAAAGAGACTGTTTTTCAGATGTAATTTCAAGGTTAATGTTACGGATAAATCCCATATGACCCAAACTGCTTGGCTGTTTTAGATCAATGTCCACTTTTGTTTTCAGTGATTTTAAAGGAACCAAATCTAATTCAGCTGTACCTACATGATCACCATTTGTGTTGAAAATCTCAAAATTTGCGTTATTTTTGCTCTTAAAGTCCAAAGTTGCAAACATCCGTCTCAAGGTAATTTCAAGAGCAAAATTTTCGACTGCATCAAAATGAACAACTTTTTCACCTGTACTTCTTTTTAGCTTTTCCTGTTTTTCAACATCAGAGTTAACAGAAGTTCTAACAGTTGTTCTAAGGCCGTTAACATTGAGGTAGAAAGTTGCTTTGTTATCCAAATCGTGCACGATATTCCACTCATCCATTATTGTGATGTCTGACTTGCCTTGCGTTGAGGTATCCATCGAGATATGGGATCGAAGAGTTTCAAGTTCAGAACGAATGTCATAAGATCCTTTACCTGCCGAATTGATCACAGGAATATTAAACATATATTTCAGTTTATTCGTAGCACTAACAGTTGGTGTGGTTTGAGTATTTCCTTCAATAGCTTGATCAAATTCCAACTTGAGGAATGGCATGTTAATTTTTACATTATTGCCAATAGAGGAGATTATGCTTATCTTGCTGAGGCTAATAGCGCATTCGTGGTTAACTAGAAGATTCTGTTGTTCCAAGTTGATCGTAGTAGCTAGTTTAATCCCTCTTTTTCTGGTCAAACTTGTCATTCCGTCTATTTTGGTGTTCAAAGTTTCAAAAACAGACGCAGAATTAGCAGCAAACCTAGCCACGATGTCTTGCTGGTTTACAAGTTCACCATTGGCGCTTACGGCAATCACTGCAGACTTGAATGAAAAGTCAAGAGTGAAGTTACCCAAAGCAGGAATCTCAATATTATTTGGGAGATCAGGGAATGTGAAAGTTGGCATCTCTATTTTGCTTAAAGTTTCTGGGATGTGAACAATCGGCAGCTCCAAAGACGGTAGGACAAGTGTGTAAGATGGTACAGAGAAACCAAGAGCTGGGACCTTGAAGCTTGGTGTGCTGACCTCCTTGGGCACTACATAGCTAAAAGCAGGTAATTCAGCTGAAAATGAGGAAACTTCGATATTCAGAACTGGTATTTTGTATCCAGGGATAGTAATTATTCTGGGAGGCATACTGGAAGTGTCCTTTTTGTGCTTGACGTAGCGTTTCTTAACTTGGCTGTGCGACTCTTTCAACAGACCAACTATTTTGTCTTTCAGCATTTCAAACTGTTCTTGAATGAGGTTCGCGTTGTCTCTGATTGCGTTGTTATATGGCTCGAGATTCAATTCCAAAATATGCGGTTCGGGGTTTTTAAAGTAGTGAAGTTTCAAGGTGAAGTCAAAGGATTGTTGAGGAGTGTGGAGCAGATATTTGAGCCCAGCGTGGTCCCATAGAGAAAAGTCTGTGATTGCCGGGGTGTTCTTTTCAAAATAAGGAATTGTCATTTCAGGAATTGACAGTGGTACAGTCAAAAAGTCCAGATTCGCTTCAGCGTTTATCATTTTATGCAGGTAAATCTCCTTATCGTTGTTTTCTAATACGCAGTTGTGATTGTATTTGTATTGATTAAATCTCGCCAAAGCCAGCCAACATGCTTTCTGTTTCTCTGAGTTCAATATGAGGCAGTAGTCATTCTGGAAGTCCACTTTACCGGTAAGTTTTAGAGGAAGGAAAATCTTTAGGTTAGCCTTGTTTTTAGCATCAAGAATGATTTCAAATGGATGTATCTTAAAATCTAGGGTGCTTGCTTCAGTGCCTTGAACACTTCCTGTATACTCGCAGTTGTGAGTAGCTGTAATGGCGAGTTTTAAGTCGTCGATATTAGCTTCGGCATCCAAAGCACTTGTACTTTTCTTCAAAGATGGGATGTCCATTTCATTTCGGGCTGTTATTGTAACATGGTTCAGTACAACAGATTCAACCGTTAGCGATTCCTTCGATTTGAAACATTTAGCATCAGTTTCTGCATCGTACATTAGTTTAGCCGTGCTTAGGTCAACGTTAAAATCCAGTTTATTTTTGTGAGTGCCTTCGTCTGAGTAATCGTCAATGGACCATTTACAATTAGCATTTGTTTCCCCGGTAACAGACACTTTTCCAGACTCCAAAGTGGTAGCGCCTGTGTGTTTGACGTTAGCTTGGCTTGAAAACTCGAGAGATGGGAGATCCAGGTTGTGATTGTACATAGTGTCACAAGTTGCGTAAATGCCACCTTTTAGAGAAAGCATAATATTGTTCATCAAATCGGCCGTGTAAAGAGGAGTTGTAGCTTTAGCGTTGGTTCTTGCGTTAGCTTCAGCAGATGAACTTGTCAGGGTCAGTACGCCTTCATGATCAACTGAAAATGCCATATGCGTTACTTTCACTGTTTCCGTAAATAGCATTTTCTTCAGTTTGGGAGCTTCTAACTTGGCATCAACTTCGAGAATGTATTCAAGTGGTTTGTATGTGGAAGTAGCTTGGGAGTTGAGTGAGGCAGTAAAAATTGGATTTTTCAAAGTAGTTGTCGCGTTTTCAATGTTGCCTCTGGTTATAAGAGAGTACTGTGGTGAGTTGAGTCTAAATTCTCCATAAAGTTTGCCAAAAACAGGAATACAAATATCACTAGGGATTTCCGGCATTTCAATCGGTGGGAAAGGCAGCATTGTAATTTCAAAAGCTTCCAAGTTTATTTTCGGGATGGTTATAGAGGGTACTTTGACTTCAGATAGAGTTATTTCTGGGAATGTCAAATCTGGTAAATCGAAAAGGTATAAAACTTTTAGGTCTCCAAAGATTTCGTGTGGATCTGGCCACTGGATTTCAAACATTTTAAGTTCATCGATAAACTCGACAATTTTGGCTTTTACCATTTCAAAGTCAATTGTGTAGGATGGGATAGTGTATGTGTTCAAAATTGTAATCTCTGGTGTTGTTATCTCTGATGGTATGCTGATTTCATCTAATTTGTTCAGATTGAAAGAGATTTCAGGGATGACGAGATCAGTAAGTGGTATAGAAAACATTGGTACTTTGATCTCAGCTTCTTTGATTGCACTGAAAGCCTCATCAACAGCGGTTTTTACTTTATCAGCAAAATCACTATTCTTAAACCATTTGGCAATTTCATCAATCAGCTCCGTCAGTTTTGTTGTGATCAGTTCAACGGTATTTTTGTAGAATTCACTTGCTCTTTGGAGGTGGACAGTGATTTCGTTAATGACGTCCATATCTGAAATGCGCTGTCTTACGTCGTCAAGAATATCTAGTGTTTTTAACTTGACGTCATTGTAAAACGTTGAATCGATTACATCTTTCAATCTGACCAGGGCATCGGCTATTTTGGTGTTTTTTAGTTCATCCAAATAGTTGTAAACAGAATTCTGGACCTTCTTTAAAAAACTCCCTCACTGCCTCAATCTTCTCAACAATTTCGTACAGTTTAATTTGTTCATTTATGTAATCTGCAAGCTCTGCAATTTTCTGATTTGTCTCATCTACAAACATGTGATAGTCAAACTCTTTCATTGACTTGACCAAATTAGCAATGTTATCGTTAAGGTTTTCTATCACTCTCTTGAAGTCAATTTCTTTAAGGGCGTTTGTGATGTGTTCCAAAAAGTCCATTATTTTGCTGTAGGCGTATTCGAAATCGATCTTTTTAACTGAATCCACAATGATCTGCAGCGTCTCTTCGATTTTCAAATCGTCAATTAGAACATCAAGCTGATCCAGTAATTCTTTAAATTTCTCATCAAGATTGTACTTCAGGATTTGGTCTTTTATGTAATTGTAAACCGCATTGAGTTTTTGTGGTATTTCGTATTCGTCAATCCAGTTGGCAATAACATCATTCATATTTTCCAATGTCCGTTTTATATCTGAATAAGGTATTGAGTATTCAAACTGATCTAAATATGCTGCCAGGTCAATTGATAAAATGTATTCTTTCAAATCTTCGAAAAATTTCTGGATATCAAAGTCTTCAATGGCTTGCTTGATTTCAGATAGTTTGTCTTTGATTTTGTCCATTACGCTGTACTTTTCATCAAGATCTTTTAGCCATGCAGTGCTGCTTTCGGTGAGTTTTTGTAAATTGATTTGACTCAGTATATCTTCAATAGCGTCAAGTAGCTTCACCAAAGACAGTTTAATTTCATATTTCTCATCAAAAGCCCATACATGGTCTCCAATCTCTTTAAGCACATTTGTAATTTTGTCTCTAAGTTGTCCAGATTCAACAAAATCTTTAAGCGTGGTGAGTAATTCTTTTATTTTTGTGGCGATGTCTGTTACGGTTTCTTCCAGATTTGCTTTCAAGTTCAACACTGCTTTCTCGACATCCTCTAAAGTAATTGAAAACTCATTCATCAAGTAGTCTATTTTCTCATTTACAATAGCTATATAGTTTTCTAGATCATACTTTTTCATGAAATCGCCCACCTTCTTTGGCAACTCCGATAGCCAGTTTTTGAAATCTGATATTACCATATTAATATCTAGATCTTCAATGTATTTGTAAAGCGATTCTAGGGCTTGAACCAGCGTAGTTTTGACTTGTTCAAAAGCAGCCGGAAAGCTTTCAATGAATGGTAGTTCAATTATATGGCATTCAGTATTCTTGTCATATTTAAGAAACCCAGACATGCTGAACTCCTCCTCAACCGGACTGTCTTTGGTTAGTTTACTCAAAAGGTTCGTGAGGGCAACTCCAGAAAACTCCGCTCCTATATTCTCTGGGTTATTATACGTAATAAAATCAAAATTGTATGCGTGATTGTTAAGCTTTGATTTCAATTTCCAGTTTAGAACTTGATTATTCGGCGTCAAAAGTCCTTCTAACTTACTGTCTAAATTTGTTGTGATCTCCTCCATTCGTCTAGGCTTGTGCGTGGTTGAAAATCTGTGGTCATATGCATAGGCTAAGGATAGTGGTTCACCCTTAAATAGAAATCTGCTGTACAACTGCCCGGTGTGCTTCCCATGTAGTTTAATTTCCCCATCGCTATTGACAAGTCCATCAATGGAAAGACTGAACGGAAGAGCCATAACTTTCACGGTGCTGTCTAGACGAAGTGGTTGAGAATTCACTCTTGCTTCACATTTCGTTGTTGAAGAAAGTCCAGCAAATTCAAACTCGCACTTATGGCTAAGCTGAGCGTCCATTGCCTGTGCAGATGTAGTGTATTTCAACGCTCCCTCTAGACCAGCAAAATTAACTTCGTAAATATGTTTAAAGTTGTTGTCATCACCATATGCTCCCATGACACTTCCGCTAAGATCTAAGTTAGTCGGTCGAAGCTTTGCGTGGCCTTCATTGTTCAAACTTAGCTCGTAAAATTTCAAATCGTTCGTCATGTCAATTGTAGCGACGAACGGCTGCATGTTAACCTTGGTGTCTTGCTTGTAGTAAACATCTTCGCAAATAAAGTTGTTGGATTTTGAACGGAGATTAACTGTCCATAGCGTAACAGCAAGTTGGTGATTATTTTCCACTTTCATTTGTTTCATCGATCCCATTGTATCTGCGTTTAAAGTCAAGCCATTTCGATTCACCAAAATATTCACGTTGTTTCTTGTGGTGCCATCAAAAGCATGGCCCTTAAGAACTCCTTGTAGAGTAGCTTCAGACGATGTAACTTGTCCGTCAATATTAAGTTCGCCTCTACCTTCTTCGCCTATTGCCTTGGTTTTGGTTGACATCATCGCACCATTGCTGTCTATAACACCATTGAAGATATTTTCAATTGTCACAGGACTACATTCAATCGCGTTAGTACCACTTATTACCAAGCCATCTTTATTTATCATCAGGGAAGCTTTGTGTAATCCACGCCCCAATTCAAATATAAGGGAGCCTTCTGAGTTTGCCTCTAACTTATTTGAATCTAAAGACCAAGTAAGGAGTGAATAAACCTTATCCTTGCCGTCATCAATTTGGGACTCAGCTCTAAAAAGCGCCATCTGATCGGATATGCCAATTTCCATTTTGTTGCTGAGAACTTTGCCCATTCCTGTGCCCATCCCGTTGCATTTCAGCATCAACTGTGCGTCCTTAAATTTCAATTCCGCTGTATGTTTCAATGCATCGTCGAGAGCAGTCGTTCTGGAGGAAATAAGAAGTTCTGAGTCTGCGTATCTGCCTTGAATTATGTTGTTAAATTTGCCTAGCGGACAATTCAAAACCAAACTTGACTCTCCTCTTCCTTCTCTATCAAGCGGGCGGAGGTTGTAGCTTTGTGTGTAAGTTATATCGGAATTATAGGATCCTAGTTTGAGTTTTCCATCCACAGTCCCATCTCCAGAGACTTCTTCTTGGTCAGGTGTGGAGGTTGCTTGAGCAGTGTAAAACCAAGATAGTTCGAAGCCTACAGGACTGGAGATTTCGAGTTTGTAATCGGCTTTTGCGTTGATTTTGTCAGGTAACGCGTAAAGTTTCGAACCACACTGAGGCTGGTGTCGATGAGGCAGTGGTTGAATGTGTTGCTTAGGAGATATTTCATGCTGTCGTCTGCACGTCCAGTCACCATACCAGTGCCTAAAAGAGAGAAAAAAAACAGTGCAAAAACATTTACAAATTTAATACCTTCTATGCTTATTATTCCACTCAAAAAATGAAATGTTGATCCGTTTAAATACACCACCAGTTAAAGGTTTGGACCTACAATCTCATTTGATGTTTTTTTGTCTTTTTTGTTTTTTTAACTACTTTTGTACATTTTGTATTCACTCAGAAAACATCACATATATGAAGAAAGATTTATGAAATTGTTGGAATGTAGCAATGGTAAAAATAAAATAAAATAGAATAGAATAAAATAAAATTAAATTAAATTAATTTATGTTAAATTAAATTTGAACAGGTTATGTAAAATGTATATTCTTTGTATTAACAAAACATAATTATTGGGAAAAAAAGTTACATAATATATTCAAATAGGGTCAACATTTCATTTTAAAATACATATACATATACTATGAATATATATAGCATTTAAATTTGCCTAAAAAGCCTGTTAACAATTTGATCTTTCTTAAACAGGTCATGCAAAAACACTCTAAAAACTTCAAAATAGTTTTGCTAGTTTCAGTTTTGTTAAAAATTACTGTATACAATTTCAATGAATGGAAATAATTTTTTTTCCCTTATTAGAATCACTGAATTACAAAGGCCTGTTCCAGTGACTCATTTAAATCTATAAGGTCAATATTGTACAACCTTCTTTGCACATATTAATGTATGTATGTATGTAACAGTATGAATATTTGAGGACACTGTTTGTAGTATTATAGTAGGATTCTTACCTTCAAGTTTGTATGACAGCACGCAGAACGGAGACTGTGCCATGATTTTGTAATGTGCCATGTAGCTGGGGACATCCACCGTGTTGTTGCCCCCAGAAACCGATCCTTCCCAACTGTAAATGTTACTGTTGATTTTTGCAGACACTTCAGCCAATCCGAGCAGAGGGAGAGAGAAGTCCCAAGACGGCGGGATGGTGAAAGGAGGTAGTTTTACAGTGAGGGGCGGCAGGTGAAGGCCTATTTTTGGTAGATCGATTGCAGGATAGGTCACTTGTTCAGGGAAGTCCAGCTCTTGTGATGTTTTGCCTCCGAGTGGAAGAGGGAGAGAGAGGAGCAGTCTGTCTTTGTTGAACTGGTATCGGAACAAGCCATCACTGTAGTGTAAAGAAGAAATATGTTTTAATTACCTAAAAAATATTTAAAGTTGCACTGCATAACTTTTCTGGTAGAGTGAGCAGCACCTGTTTTCCTCAGTGGATGTTATTCATCTCATCTTTATTGTATTTATCAAGTGTAGGTTGTTTATATTGACTAAAAATACCCTAAAACTATGCATTATTACTGTTAGCAGGGTCACCTCTCCATACATCTGACCTGTAGTTTGACCTTGTGATGCCACTTCTATGTTTCCGTGGAAATAAATAAGTTTAATGGCATACTGTCACAGCAACATCTCCACGGAGACAAGCAGGTAGCATACCGGAAAAGTTACAAAGTGTAGTATTAATTCAAGCAACTTTATTTGAGAGATTTTTTTTTTTTTTTTCAATTCAAATGTGGTTGTTTGGAAGTTTGTTTGTTTTTTTTACTTGAAAGATGTTAGATCTCAGTAACTAAAAATAAACCAACTGCCAACAATTTCAATGTATTATTTCCAAATTCAAATCCTTTTAAGCTGCATTTCAGATATTATTATTTTGCAGTATAGTAGAATAATTTACTTACTATTGGAAGAACAGTTTCTCTGGTAGAGGGGGGAGGGTGAGGTCCGAGACGCTCCTTTTGCTCCGAAGGTTTTCCAGATATGGGAACTGTGCAGTGAGTTTGTCCATCCAGATGTTAACTGCCTGCAAGGAGACAGTACTTTACTATAAATACAGTCACATCTGACCACTCACTGCAAGAGACAAAACCACAATATGAACTGGAACAATCCCAAGGTCATCCGCAAACCAGGTCCATAAATAAGGAGGTGACACTAGTAAGAATGTTTTTCTGTGTTTTTTTTAGTGCAATAAAAATTTTGAAAATGAAAAAGACAAAAAAACATGATTTTGTTTTAGTCTATTCTTGGCAAAAAAGTTAAGTCAGCGCACACACAAGAATAGTCCCATGACTTCCTCCCAATTAAATCCAAATTAAAATAACTGAAATAACAGCCCTGCTAGAGATGTTTTATCAGAACACAGTGTATTTGATATAGTCTTGCCTCGATTCCTTTGGAGACAATGTGCCTCAGTTTCATGTCAGTTTTGGCCACTCTTTGGTCCAACATTTCGTCCAACAGCTGCTGCAGATGCCGATGGTGATCCTCTGCATTTGGGATCAGCTTCTGGAGATCTGAATTTGCATCTGTTTTCAGTTCAAGCTCGATTTTGTCATCATCTATAAAAAGGGAGAAATCAAATTGAATGTTAGTTCATTTAAGCTGTACATCCTTTAAAGATACACTATGTAACTTTTCAAGTCGAAGGCCTGCTGTCTGCTTGTCTCCATGGAGACTGTATAGCTTTACCAGGAAAACAGTAAGTCATTATTCTTATCTATTCTCCATAGAGAGGTGAGCCCACTTATAGTAAAAATGCATGTTTTTTCAGTCTTTCTGTATAATAAATATCTGTAATTGAATAAATATAGGTTAAATGAGATTAGGCATGGGAATAATCTCTCCACTGTGAGGGACCCTGGCAACAGAAAAGTTATATAGCGCAATTTTAAGTAAATCTTTGCGGTCATAGATAGTTACCATATTTGAGTGACACTTTGTGTTGGTACAGCGTCTCTGGGAGGTTTACAACTGTTTCTGTGTCGACAGTGATGATGTCGTCTATGTTTAAAGTTGAAGTTATTGAGGCGTCTGCGTTCAAAGAGGGAAGGGTCATCTGGAGCTGCAACATGGCGTCCTTCATCATTTCAAGTCTGAAACATATAAATGTACATTTTAAGGTTAAGGTACACTTTATTGTCCCTGTGGGGAAAGTTGTCCTCTGCACTTGACCCATCATCCAACCTGTCAGGAGCAGTGGGCAGTGCAGCGCCCAGGGACCCATCTCAAGATCTTGTGCTAGTTTTGGTCAGAGCTATGTTAGCTGAAGGATTTGATCTATTGTGCATGTTTTGGGGAAATCACAATGCTCAGATGAAACCCACCCCAGACAAACTAAGAATATGCAAACTCTACAAAAAAAGGTCCGCCAAGTTCTAAATAGAATCTAAAATTCCTAAAAAAAATATACGGCATATTAAAAAGCGTTTAATACCGTGTGCGTGCAATGAGAGAGAGCTGGGGGATGTTTTTATTGGTCACGTCGATGGTGATTCCTCTGAGTTCTGGAGCTCTGGGATCACTGCTCAGAGCAAATTTCACACCAGCCTCAATGTCGTAGTCTGGGATGTTAAACTCTGTCAGAACCGTGTTTTTGTTCATGTTGTATTTGAGAGAGGCTGCCAGCTCTGCTGAATCTACACCTGGAAAACAAACAGCAAAATCTCTCACTGGGGCAGACTGCAGCAACTTTATAACATAGAAAATTGCTCATTTACACTTTACAAAAGTTGTCATTTCTGTTACCTTCAGCTTTGAGTGAGATCTTGAGAGCTGTCACTCGGTCTTTTCCTTCTTTGAGCATTTCACGAGTCAAAGAAGCAACATATTCAGAAACTTCTCCTGTGGGCTGGATTTCAATTGCAAATCTAAACAACAAAACAAAGTATTTATAAAGAACTGTGTAAAACGATTACATTAAAGAATAAAAAAACTATGTAAACATGTAACTCTGTGGTGGTGGCCAAAAAAAACATACTTTGGAACATTCTCTGTGGAGATAGAAAAGTTTGGAAAATTATTGCCAGTGTTTATCTCTGTTTTTCAGTGCAAATAAACAAAACAAAAAAAAACATGCTTTTATTAGTTATTTATTGCCAAAAAAATTGTACTGGAGCTTTAATATTAAAAAGTGCATAATTGGGACCATACTTTAGTTTAAAATCCTAGTTAATAAACTATATACAGTAAAACCTTTTTTCTGAAATAGTGTATAGCTTAATCACCTGCAAACCTGAACTGAACAGAAAACATTTGAAAAAATATATCCAATAAATTTCAACCAACAAAAGTATCAGATTTCTGTACCTGCTCTCTCCGGTGAGTGGGTAGTATGGGGCGTGCTCTGTGGAGGAGCCGTTGGAGAACTGTGTGATGGAGCAGAGTCTGAGTCCAGTGATCAGAGGCTGACAGTCTGTGGAGTCAGTCCTGTCCTCCACCAGAGAGGGCACTATCTTAGTCTTACCCGTCGAGAGGGACAGCACTTTGTTACTAGAGGAAGACAATTATAATTCAGAAAATTAAATAAGTCTCAAAAATAAGATAAAAATATTTGGCAACGCTTAAAAAAAACTACCCCTTAATTATCCTTAATAAAGCATGCACAAAGACTTAAATCATAATGAACAAATGTAACTACTACTAACCACAACAACTTAATTAAGTACCGTAGTTACTAAACTCAAAGAATAATATATGAACATGGATTAGAATTTCGGTTGCATAATTAGTCCAATAATATTATGTAATCTAAAAACAATAATTGCAATGCTTATTGCTTAAGAATTCTCGTGATTGTTCTTAGGATTTGTTTTTGAAAAAAAAAAAAAAAAAAACACATTTCATTTTGATATGAGTAAATTTGACTTGGTTCCTGGTTCAGTCATTAGTTTAGTCCTGGTTTAGTCCTGATTTAGTCCTGGTTCAGTTGCGGTTTAGTCCTGGTTCAGTCCTTGTTTAGTCCTTGTTTTGTCCTGGCTTATTCCTGGTCCATTCTTAGTCTTGGTCCAGCTTTGGTTCAGTCCTGGTTTAGTCCTGGTTCAGTCTTGGTTTAGTCCTGGTTCAGTCTTGGTTCAGTCCTGGTTTAGTTCTGGTTCAATCCTGGTTCAGTCCTGGTTCAGTCCTGGTTCAGTCCTCGTTCGGTTCTGGTTCAGTCCTGGTTTAGTCCTAGTTTTATCCTGGTTTAGTCCTGGTTCAGGCCTGGTTCAGTCCTGGTATAGTTCTGGTTCAGTCCTACTTTATTCCTGTTTTAGTCCTGGTTCAGTCCTTGTTCAGTCCTGGTTTAGTCCTGGTTCAGCCCTTGTTTAGTTCTGGTTCAGTCCTTGTTTAGTCCTGGTTTAGTCCTGGTTCAGTCCTGGTTCAGTCCTTCTTTAGTCCTGTTTCAGGCCTGCTTTAGTCCTGTTTTAGTCCTGGTTCAGTCCTGGTTTAGTCCTGGTTCAGCCCTTGTTTAGTTCTGGTTCAGTCCTTGTTTAGTCCTGGTTTAGTCCTGGTTCAGTCCTGGTTCAGTCCTTCTTTAGTCCTGTTTCAGGCCTGCTTTAGTCCTGTTTTAGTCCTGGTTCAGTCTTGGTTTAGTCCTGGTTCAGTCTTGGTTTAGTCCTGGTCCAGTGCATGATTCTCATATACCTGACACTGAACAGTTGTGTGTTGACAGTGGGGGCAGGGAGGGTGAGTTTGATCTGGTTTCTGTCCCAGCTGATTTTGGCGTTTATGGAGCTTTCATGGAACATATCAGTGTGCATCTCCATCCCGGCCTCCACGTAATCCGGAATGTGGACGCCCATGTTTGTAATGAACTCCACCCCAACTGATGGCATGAAGGACAGAGACCCCTACGAAAGAAAGAAAACATTCAAAACACTATCAAATGTCAATGTATCTAAAAATGAGTTAAATGTCCTGTACCCATTTTTCCCATATATTTGAGCTAAATATGTTTTGCCCCAGTACAAATATATTGGTTCCTGGTTCAGTCATTAGTTTAGTCCTGATTTAGTACAGGTTCATTTCTGGTTTAGTCCTAGTTTAGTCCTGAAAGTTGCATCTCTTGGGGTCAAAATAAGTTTTCTGTGTACTGCCTGCATCTAATTACAAAGCTTTTTCTTGTCAGAGAGTCTGGAAGTGCACATTAGCATGCTAGTTGTTGTAAGCTTTACTGTCATGGTAAAACTCTGCACTAATCTCTGAGAGTTTAATGTCATTACGGTGAATTATTAGGATGCTTGGAATGAAAAGATAAGAGAGGACCACTGCAAACCATTGAAAATGAACTAGTTCTGTTTTTCACATTTTTAAAAAGTAGTACTAGTATGCTAACCATGCATTTCCTGATACTCAGACAATACAATGCTTTATAATTAGATACTAACTTTGAGCTGCTTTGAGCTATACATTTTTACAGGGGTACAGGGCCTTTAATAGTCTGAATTCTACTTACTGGTACTTTAATTTATATACTGATATAACTTTTTTGCAGTGTAATCTTCCAAATTCTATACTTATATTCTATCATACGCAAAGTGTAATAGCAGGATGTTACCATATTTGGGGCGTAGGTGAGTCCTCCTTTGGCTCCAGGAGCAAAAACTCCAGAGAGAGAAAACTTCAGCGGCATCCCAGAGATCGTGGGTAGAGAAAAACTGTTGTCCATGAAGATGTAGTGAGCGAAAATGTCATTATCGGCGCTGGATGTCAGCTTAAAGAAGGCCTGAGGGGAGAGAGGAGGAACCCGTAGTAACATACACTAGTACACTATAAAACAGAATTAAGCACTAATATTGTATGAATAATAAACGGTGAATAATAAATTGGTTTTACATATCACTAATATCAGTACTCAAAATGTCCCATATTACACTACATTCTGATCTGTGTTATAATGTTGTTTCCTCATCACAAACATATCTGGAGTTGTCTCTCTAAAGAAAACCCTTTTCCACCTTGTGATGTCATGTGGGAATACATGAAGTGCTCCATTGTGTTTTTAAACTCCACAGGCCTTCATTAGAGTCATTTGGATGTTTTCAAGCATGGAATTGCCCATCTACATGACATCACAAGGTGCAACAGAGCATTTTGAGCTTTGGAGATGTAGACTTACTAATAATAGTGTTACTCAAACATGTGTGAATGAAACAAAACACAACTCGAGGTATGTTTTGAGGAGGTAACAGCATTAAAACATGGCTTAAAGCTCACAAGAGTCCATTTTGTCTAATATAGCATCTTTAAAAATTAGTAAAAATAGTTGAAAATAGTTACTTACACTGGTGGGGAGCACTCTGAGGAAGATGTGCTGGTACATGGACATTGTCTCTAACACGTCTCTGATTTGGCTGATTTTCATGTATCCCATCTCTGTCCCCAGGAGCTCAAAATACGCCACAGCCTCTGGAGTCTCAGACGAACGCAGATCCTCCATCAATTTTTGGAAACCCTCAGATAAGCTCTTCACAAGATCATCTGGGACCTATGTGACAACAATAATTTATACAGTATGGAAGAATATATTAAACACAGCAAAAAGGAATATCAACAATAGTTTAATATTTGGACCTTGATGTGGGTAGTTTTGACTAGCTCTAGTTTTGACGCTCTTTTCCACCTTGTGCATGTGGTTTAGATTTATAGATTGTTTAAAGGGGCACTGTGTAACTTTTCTGGTGGAGTGTGTTATCTGCTTGTCTCCATGGAGATGTTAAAGCTTTGCCCAGAATGTTCCACAGTAGTACATTTAATCCCATATTATTTATAATTCTGTACAAAACTATAACATCTCCATGGTGACAACTTCAAGCAGGTGATGGACCTTCTACCAGAAAAGTTACATAGAGCACCTTTAAAGCCTTAAAAATGTATTGAAATACTATTTTAAATTGTTGTTTAAAAGTATCACAGGATAAAAGCCTAAATAAATTTTTAAAATTTATCCAGATGAGTATTATGAGGCTGACATTGTATTAAATAATGCATGAAGTGTATATTTATGACTTAAATTACATAAAGATATTTTCTAAAGTTACTCTGTACCTGTCTCTTCATTCTTCCGTCTTCAGACCTGAGACCTGAGATTAGTTCCTGGCCCCAGTTTGTGAGTTTGAAAAACGACTCTGGGACAAAACCACTTTCACCAAACAGAGCTTTGATCACAGGCTCGAACCCGTCTCCTTCTAAATTTAACTAAAAAAATAAAGCAATAAAAACGTGTCAATAAATGTCCACACTGCAGATTTAAAATGTTTACATTGCTGACTTACATAATAATAAAAGTAGGTTAAATTTAAGATAATTTAACCTACTTTTGTATTATTGCAAGTGCATATACAGTGACTTTAGTTCAAAACAGTTGCTTAGACTTAGACTGAGACAAACTTTACTGATCTACAAGGGAAATTATTTGGACAAAGTAGCTCACACATCACTAAAATAATATAATAACAAAGAGCAACAGTATAAATGTTCATAATAAAATCTAAATAAGTAACAAACATAGCAAGAGACTAGTATCAAATAAGGCATAATTCATATCTTAATCTGCATTTAAGTTGGTAACACTTCATAATTACTACACCTTAATTAGACTTAATAAAACCTGAACAAAGATTTAATTCATACTGAGTAAGTGTTTATTTAGAATGACTCAGGCTTAGTAACTGCTTAATTAAGAAGTTAGGGTTAGGATTAATTATTGAGGTCCTTGAAATCTTTGTTCATGTTTTACTAAGGCTATTAAAAGTGTAATTATTATAGTGTAACCAGTAAAGTGAATTGTAGATATCAATGTATTTGGTTGCAGTGCACATAGACTATACAACATTATGTGGGTCAAACTTACCTTGAAAAGATTCTTGTTCATGTAGTCCTTATCGTGAGACAGGTCCAGTGAGACGTCTTTAGGTAAAGTGTTGGCATCATCAAAAACAATGTTAGATTTGAATGAAGCTCCGTAAACTTCTGACATAAAGTTACGAGATTTTCCATATAATTCGTCCAGCGGAGGTAGCTCTTTGTCTCTCACAGCCAGCTCTATGTAGTAGGTTGCGCTGTGGAAAATAAAAATAGTAGTTTTATGACATCCTTTTATTAACCTCATCTAAATATGGGTATCTTCAATTAACAACAACTTATGTAATTTTGTTTATCACACTGGATTTTGAAAGTCCAAATTAGAATATCTATTTAAAGTTATTTTGTTTTCTTTTTAGTATTTTGTTTGGTAGGACAGTAGGCTTTTATGTGGTAAATAATTATCATAGCTTTACATAATTTTCATGTTTATTGTACTGAAAAACTATTGTCCTTTCTAGAGGTGGTACATTGTATGCATAATTTCAAGGAAATAGAAAGTTAAAACAATACTTTGGAATATTATCTGTGTAGAGAGAGCTGTTTTCTACCATACTGTGGAGGATTATAACCCAAGAAACAACATTTCCACAGAAACAAGCTGAAAGACGCCCTCCTCCAGGCACATTTTTTTGTTTTCTGGATATGCAAACCTGTTCAAAGTAAGGCATGTTTTGATGTGTCAGTGCAATATTGAAAAACATGCTTTCATTTTAGCCAAATGTTGGGCCAAAAAGTTACATACTGCAGCTTTAAATAATTTCTTGAAGTGTACTGTATACATTATGTCAAAGATACCAAGTCATAAGGACCACACGTCATTCGAATTTACTCACTGTAGATCATTTTTGAGCACATTGTTGAGATGTGTAACCACAAATATCTTGAGTTCTTGGTCTGTCAGATCCTCCACAGAGTTCACAATGGTCCTGGCTGTGGCTTCGTCCATGTTTTTGATCAGAATGTGGTACGCTGCTACCCGCTTCTCCACCGGGCTCTGGGCATCCTGGTAAATCTCCAGAAGGGCACTCCTCACCTGTGGCATAGAATACAGAGAAATGAAAGGGTATTTTGTGTTAAATCCCAGATTAATCCTAATGTTGTGTAATCACAGACTTCAGCTTCAACATCAATGATATTTTGAGGACATTTGCACATTAATAATATATCATTTTATAGTTTTAATTGTTACTTGTCTATGGCAACTGTGCTAGAATTTAATCAGTCTAACCCATGGATAAGTAACCAAAACATTGCAAAGATAAATTTTATTCTGATATTCAAGATAGTTATTGAATATAACATTTTCTAATTTTGTTTTGCACTAAATAAATACAATGATATAACAATATTTTTTTTTTTATATATATATATATTTTTGCTTAAATTCACAATATTTTGTATCTTTTACGTATTAGCTAACAATTTACACTACATTGTCCAGCTTTAGCATAATAGTATTCTGTGTTATATTTTACCTCATCATTGATGTTGATGTTTCTAAAGGCCTGTATGGCTGCTTTCTGAGTGGACAAAGGAGCGTCGATTTTGTTTGCACAGCTCAGAACAGCAGAGACCAGACTAGGGCTGAGGTCCTGCATAGGCTGACCCATCACTCCAATCACCTAGAACAAAAAAAGGAAAATATACAAACTTAAAGCCACTGTATGTAACTTTTTAGCTAAAAAACAGACATAATGTGAATAGACTGACTCGTAGTACGAGGTAGGAGAGCTCTTCTGGGTTGCGGATGACGTCAGGATCCATGTTTGGTCCCAGTTCACCAGAACACTGGTTTAACATCTCCTCCATGAAGACAGCCACATCTCTGATCTCTGGAGTCACGTCTCCTCGATAAAAACTGCACATAGGAAATTTGTCTATAATCATTACCTATAATTTAAAAAGACAACATATTTTGCTCTTAGAAATATCCAAATAATAACAGACTTTGAGGTTTGATGCCAAATAGTGATTTTGATTCGATTGTGAGACATTGTGCAGCTCTACCTGTGAGTTTTGTGGTTACAGCTGAAATATTAAATTGGACAATTACAATTTTAATCAAAGTCAGAGTCATAGTCAGAGCAGGGACTGCTTGTCTTTCAAACAGGGGAAGCTCTTTATATTTTTATTCTCAATGCTATTATTTAAGAAAGTGTAAACTGCCTTCAGTTACATTTGTATAGATGTGTAATTGTAACTGTACAATACCCCTGCTTTACAAGTAGGAAAGGCTGGAGTAAACCTGTTTCATAATAATCCTCAATTTCTCAAAATCTTGATTATTAAAAATCCAGTAAGTTTAAGTCCATTTAAATACATGAATAAACTAATAAATAATTTAGATTAGCCCTTACTTCAAACATAAGCAGAGCAAAAGTCCTAAAGTATGATTTTCACACTGAGAACCACATTACCCTAGTTGTATTAATATTGCACTTACTTCTTGACAGTGTACCCCAGTGCATACATGATCCCTTTGCTCTGCCTGTATTGTGCAGTACTGAGCATGTCTCGTAGATGAGCTGAAGTGGGATCAGTCTTCAAACCCAGAGCGTAAACAAAAGCATCTACTTCTGCTGAGACCCCATTGATTTTCCAAATGGACTGGAGCATGGCGCTGGTACATTCAGCTGTCCCACACTGGAATAAGGCCTGCCACGTGACCCAGGTAGAAATATCCAACATTTCAGTAACAGTTTCGCTCAAAGTTTCATTTTGGAGGGCTCTCATGGTGGAGACGAGGTTGTAGAAAAGACTGGTTCTCTTTTGGGATTGGTCGGTACCGGGCAGAGTCAAAAGTTCGTTCAAAATATTCACTGCAGATTCCTTCGTTTGGATGAGAGATTTGTGATCAGGGTCGGCGAAGTATAAAGGCTGGCCCAATGTGTCGGTCAAGTCTGAAAATATATCAGAAACAGTTTATGTAATACTTATCTACATATTACACTCTTCTCTGACCTGAGTTGTTTCCTCATCACAAACATACCTGTAGTTGTGTTTTGTTTCAGTCACACGTTTCACACACAAACCCTGCATGTTTATGGTGAGTTCTGCTCTCAAACAGAAAACACTCTGTTCCACCTTGTGATGTCATGTGGTAATACAGGAAGTGTGTTTGTTAAACTCCATACACCTTCACTAGAATCATCATAATTTCAGCCCTGGAATTGCCCATCTCTACTAAATAAAAAGTAAAGGGTAGCTGTTAACTTGAAAACTACTGCTTCATGGCATCACAAGGTGGAACAGAGCATTATAAGCTTTGGAGAAGTAGACAGACTAATAATAAAACGTTACTCAGACATGTGTGACTAAACCAAAACACAACTCCAGGTATGTTTTTGATGAGGTAACAACATTATAATAAGGGTTTTGCGTAATATAGGGCCTTTGATTACAGTGATCAGCATTGTGCCTTTAAATACATAATGGTATAACCCAGTACTAGTATAGAGTGTCTTCCTGTAAATAATATTCTACAGAGACACAACAGGTAAACCAGGCCATATGACTCACCAAACAGTCTGTTGTTGATGCGTTTGGAATTTTGAAAGCTCAGTTCTTGTGCAATCACAGATGACATGCCATTGTCCCTGCAAAAAGAAATACACAGTGAAGCAAAACAACCACCGAAAAACTCAAACTGAACAGCAAGATTTTGTTTCCAGTCTTCTTTTAAAGCTGCAGGATGTAATATTTTTGGTAGAGGGTTATTCAATTGCCATTTGTATCCATTTGCTTGAAATGTTCCACAATATGACATTAAACTTGTCACTCTACATGTAAGAATGAATGCTTTTTATTGTATTATTTTGAGCAACAAATCACCTGAAATTGAATAAATGTAAGATATATGAGATTAAGCCTTACTGTGGAACATTTAAGGCAAAGCAATAACATCTCTACGGGGATCAACAGTACATAGTGCACAATTAACTCAATCCATTGATAAAAATACACTGTCTCCCTTCTTCTTTATCTTGCCAATCAGGAGCATGATTGCCAGGATGGTGAAACAGGTTAAAATCAGGCCAGAGCTGCTTACATCATGTTTGAAAAGTGATAAATAAAAAGTGATGATAAAAGCTTACTTGTTAGAGAATGGGAGGTAGACATGTTTTTCTGTGCACTGGACAGATGTGATGTGCTTCCCCTTGTTGTCAAATTGGTAGTTGCATTCTTGGCTGCTGGTGAAGAGTTTGGACAAGGGATAGTGCTGAAAGTAAACGATACATACAAGTACAAGTATTAAACAATGAATTTACATTAACATAAATGGTTACTTCATTTACTTGATTCTTGTGATTTATTTACTGTAACTATTTTACTTGATTATGTGACTTTCAATACAACGGAGTAAGAAATTCACACCTTTTTTATTGCCAACATTTTTAAGGTAAATAACCCTAACTTTTGAAACTTAAAATGTTATAACAGGGTATCCCAGGGTTTGACTACCCCAAATTTAACACTTTTTAAGACCTTTTTAAGACCAGTTAAATGAAAATTAAGACCAATATCGCACCCATTATGCGGTCGAAAAACACCAGATTCAATTCAAATAATGACAATTACTCACTGCTTTAAATAACAAAAAATACTTGTATTGTAAAATCTCATTCAGAACTTCATTTATAGTCGTATGCATCACTTCTAAAATGGACAACAATAATTTATAACATTCTAACAAGACAAACTAACCTTTCACATTGTCTTTCAAAGTGCTTCAACCATTTAATATTTTCAACAACAACAAACTGTTGTCCACTGTACTGATTGTTTACTCATTGCCGCATTGGCGCTGGAAACCAAAGTATTGTTTGCGCATACTCCAAATTAGACGTTCATTCACGTTATTTCATGTTGATTTTTTCCCTCCCTCCATTTAACATTGCACTGTAGCCCGACTGAGTATACAAAAATAGGCTACTAAATTTTAAGTCCTTTGTGAAAAAAATAAGACTTGGACAACATAATTTAAGACTTTGTAAGACCTTAATTTAGGAACATGAAATTTAAGACCTTTTTAAGACTTTTAAGACCCCGCAGCTATCCTGTATAAAATGAGTTATGCAACCTACGTCCCATTAGAAAATAAATATTAGGTTGTCAGAATCATTCAAAAGATTGCTATTTGCATGCAGAAGGAAGGAGGAGGAAGGAAGGAGGAGGGATAATGAATATATGGTATAGAGGAGGGACAAAGAATATATGATACAGAGGAGGGACAGTGTGTGAGCAGAAGAATGCAGAGGAAATAGTAGACTTTGAGGAGGACCAAAGAAGAGATTTATGAGTTTAGTGAAAGTAGACATGAATTTGATCACCGTGAGAGCACAGAACGCAGAAGAGAGGGTCTGAGAGTGGGAGAAAATTATGAAGTTACAAAGTTAAAATGATAAAAATTTTACCAGATTCTTGAGAAGGGCCAAAGGGCTGTCTGTGAGTTTGCGTCCATAGAACTGGTCACATTTGGAGAGGTCTCGAGTCACACTGAGGTCTGCTCCATTCATTTGGTGAGCTGTGCGGCACTGACCATGAACTGTGCTCTGGAAACGGAACAATCAACAAGAAAATAAAGGAAGAATTAAAGTCTGTAAATTTGCTATGTGTTTCCCATTAACAGAGGAAATTATGGTGTGTGTGTGTATATATATATATATATATATATATATATATATATATATATATATATATACACACACACACACACACACACACACATATATATATATATATATATATATATATATATATATATATATATATATATATATATATATATATATGTTTAAAAAACACAAGTCCTTTCAGTCCACATTGTGAAATACTCCAGGAGTGTTAAATGGCCCATATTACTCTATTTCCTGATCTGTATTATAAGGTTGTTTCTTCATCAAAAACATACCTGGAGCTGTGTTTTTTTCACTCATGTACGCACTCTGTTCCATCTTGTGATGTCATGTAATACAGGAAGTACTTCACTATGATTTTTAATTCCATACACCTTCACTAGAATCATTTGGATAATTTCAACTCTGGAATTTCCAATCTCTGCTGAACTAATGATAATAGCCGGTAACTACTACAAAAACTACTACTTCATGACATCACAAGGTGGAACAGAAACAGAGTGTTTTGAGCTTTGTAGATGTAGGAAGACTAAAAATAAAGGTTTATTCAAACATGTGGGAATGAAACAGAACACAACTCCAGGTGTTTTTGAGGAAATAACAGCATTAAAACATGTCTTAATGCTCATAAGAGTCAATTTTGCGTAATATAGGACCTTTAAAGCTATCATCTGTAACTGGAAAGATCAGTCCTGAACATTGAGTTTTGGGACTTTGGGAGATGAGACAGAAGACGATGCTGTGCTCAGAGGGAAGAGAAGTGTTTTGAAGTCTGTGTTTTGTGCTGTGTATACTTTTGGGAAAACATCCCCAGGTGAAGGAAGGGGGAACGAATAAATTTACATTATATTGAAATGACGTGCACTGACCATGACACTGGTGCTCTCCTCTGCGTTTGGAGACAGGAGCATGGACACGATTCCTCTCTTGATGTTGAGGATATTCACCGGTTCATCATCTACAGAAAAGAGCATCACGTCCTGAGCATCCTCCACCGTGAACTTTAGAGGATTCCTGAAAACATGACAAATCATTTTATGAACTATTTTGGAATGACACACACCTTTTATTCTGATCAAATAATAATAATAATAATAATTATAACAGCTGCTTTACAATTTTGTGCATTATTCACACTCAGTCACACATTTGTATGATCTGATGAAGGCTTTTTGCTAAAACGTAATCTCAAAATAAAGGTTTTGACATCTCAGGCCACTGTGCTATGCTTTTTTTCCATTTTTGAAGTTGCTGCTCTCTGCAATTATACCTCTATATTATACCTCATTTGTCTCCAGTAGGTTAGACTACTGTAATGGTCTGCTCACTGGTCTCTCCAAACGAGCTGTGAGACGCTGCAGAACATCCAGAACGCTGCAGCTCGGGTCCTTACTCGAACTAGGAAGTACGAGCACATAAGTCCTGTGCTCAGGTCTCTGCACTGGCTTCCTGTGGCTCAGAGAATAGACTTTAAAGCAGCTCTGCTTGTGTACAAGTCTCTCCATGGCCGAGCACCAAAGTACATCTGTGACATGTTAGTGTCATATGAACCATCTCGCACTCTGAGGACCTCAGGGACCGGCCTCCTGCTGGTGCCCAGAGTCACGACTAAACAAGGGGAGTCAGCGTTTCAGGTTCATGCAGCTAAAACCTGGAACAGTCTGAACATGTGAGACAGACTCTTCTGTGACGCTGTTTAAATCCAGGCTCAAAACATTTCTGTTTAACTGTGCATATAACTGAAAGGTTTTCATTCCGCACTCTTCTCTCCAATTTATGTCTCTCTTTTTTAATTTTAATCTTCATGATTATTTATGTTTTGATTTGTTTTTATTATGATTTTAATGTATTTCTTATTCTGTAAAGCACTTTGAATTACTTTGTGTACGAATTGTGCTATACAAATAAACTTGCCTTGCCTATAAAGACACGAGTGTGTTCTCTGTTTGATTTGAAGATACTGCAGCCATAGTCGCCCTGGGACAGACTGACCAAGTGAGGTTGCCAGTCTGTGCCATTGGTCATGGAGGATTGGAGGATTATTAAGAATTTTGTGGAATCACCAACAGCTATGGCTACAACTAACAGCTGCATCTACACCAACAGTCACTCCAACAGCTACAACCATATCAACATCTATGGCTAGACCAATGGCTACCTAACCTCCTGTCCCACAGTTGTCCAGACTTCGGTCTGGGAAAAGGCCTGTGCACTCGCTTGTCTGAGCTGCTTATGGCCTGCAAACTCCCGTCTGCCCAATACCGCCTGCTGGAGGGCAGAGTGGCCGGCGTCCAATGGGCCTTCTCCATAGAGATGTCTATGGACGAGTACACTGCATTGGGCAAAGGGGCCTTCAAGAAGGAGGCCAGAAGGAGAGCGACCGCAGCTCTAATCCAGATGATGGGCTACATTCTCAGACCTCAGCACAATCTGCTCCTCAGACCACAACAGAAACTGCTCCTAAAGCAAAGAACACTCTGGAGACTCCAAACCAAAAAGCTTCAGTCCAACAGAATAGAGCTCCACCTGCCCACATCTCTCCAGATTTCTGTCTGGATAAGGACCCCAGCACGCGCCTGTCTGCAAAAACTTTAGAGGATTTAGAAAGTCCAGTGAAGGTTTAAATCCTGGAGGTAGGATCTGGGTGAAAAACATCCAAATGGATGAACCAGCCTCAACTTCAGAGTCCACTCAAGCTCCAAAGACACATGAACCTGAGGAAGAACTGGAGGTAGAAGGTGGGCATGAGAGTCCAGATTTGATTCAAGAGCAGCTCAGATTTCTGCAGATTTGTGAAACTGCGCCAAAAACTGCCATCCAAAATGAGGTCCCACCGTGATGCAGTACTGCAGACTCTGCAGAAGGCTTTAGACCAGTTCAGAGTCCCAGATGGAGTTTATCTCAAACCCAAGAACAACAAGAGGCTGTGCAAAGCCAGAGCCAAAGATCTGATCTACGAATCCAAGCTCTTCAAGATGGCTTCAGGACCAGAGATTCAGAGGGACGCCATGAAAAATCTGAATTTTCGCCTCAATGCCTTCAAGAACCGGCCCAGAACTGGACTGGTACAGCCACAGTGGGACAAGCCCAAGAAGAGGGCCTATTAGACAGCGCCCCCTGTGTCCTTTAAGGGGAATCACTCGTTTGGTCGATAAGGGTCAAAGGTCATCATCTGGACACTTTCGAAGTTGAGACATTTTACTGCCATCCAGAGCTCATTTTAGGTTTTTACAGTTTTAACTTTAACTGCACTGAGCAATATTAGTTATTATTAGATGAAACCTGTGACTCTTTTTCTACCATTCATTTTTTCTGGTTTTGTCCTGGGTTTTAAGAGGTAACATTTTTCAAAAACAAAATATACTGTATTTCTACTAAAAGTGGCCCGGCTCAAATCACACTGTTGTCAAACTTTGCAGCTGATGCCATCAACATTCTCTAGTGATGTGATACTAACTGTCTGAGGCTTTATTAGAGTTTAATCTGTGCTTTATTTTAACACTATCTGATTACAAAGAACTGATTTAGCTGGAACTGCAACAGCTGATTTGTGCTGTTAAACAAGTCTCTCACACATAAAATTACAGTCAAAAGCTAGATAGCTCACCATTTTTGTTAAAAATCAAACTCCTAAACAGGATCACGAACACTCTTACTGACAATAGGCTCCTGAAAATGTGTTGTTTAAATCCACTGTGTCTTTTCTTTTTTGACAGTGTTTGTTAATGTGTGCGTTGTTTCAGCATGTTACTAACACCTCAAATTGTCATCATACATGTAGAAGAGTAGGAATCCTCTATGATATTTATGACTTAGTAAATAGCTATCCTGTCAATCTGCCCCACCGGCTTCTCAACTTAACAGGTGGGTGAAGTGTGTTGCCTAAGAACACAACAACACAACTTGGTCTAAAATGGTGGAACCACTGCTCTCACCACTGAACAACTATGGCCTAATTTAACTTGTCAAATGTTGAACTTCATTGCAATTCTTCCTCTTCCATCAGTTTCTAATATGTTTAAAAACCAAGTGTACTGACTTTTCCATAGCTGCCTTGAAAGCTTCAGACCCAGGTGCAGGGGAGTAGACCGGCGCCCCCTCTGGATCCATGTCAGAAACTTCACTCACTGCACAGTCTGTGGTATGCATGACGAAACTGCACGCTTGAGGGACTTCAATCTCAACCTGAAGATACCAGATTCAGACAGAAAAACTGGGTTAAGGAGGCAAAAGTCAGCTCAGATAAGATGATTGTATTATCAGTAGGAGACCAGACGCCAGTCACGTACCTTACATGTAACTTTGGGCCCATTTCTCAAGTTGGCAGTGCCCACGATGCCATTTCTGCTTTCAGTGCTGTACTGGTAGAAATATTTCCTATAGGTTTTGAATCTGGAGACCACTGCAATGAAAATGTCAAATTGTTACACATGGGATCAGGTCTAAACTAGGACTAATTCAGGATTAAAAGAATGGTTGACCATTCAAGAGATATTTCATTTTGAGTTAACCGTTATGCAATTGTCCTAACTGTTCATCATTCTGGATCCATGGAGATGGCAACACTTCTGTGGTAAAGGCAACATAAAAATTGCAAGCGTCCCCATAGCTTTGGTAATCGAAAGAATAACACGCATGAATATGCAAAATAAATTGTGCAGGGTAGACAAGGACTTTTCACCATTCAACTTTTTTGTTTTAAAATGTTTAATTGCCATGGTAACTAGGGCTGGATATCATTAAGATGTTGCCGACCTTGATGCCTCGATACATAGGCCATGAAACGATACATATCTCAATATAATGCACTTTTGGTTCGCTACGATATATTTCAAAACGATTCGATATGGTTCAGTAAAAATAAATGTAAATCATGGCTGTGATACTAAAAGTTTTAAAAGTTAAACCACTTTTTGTGTAAAGTTAATATGAAAAACTCCCCTTTTTACTCAAATCAAAACAGTGAAAATGTCAAATGTGTCGCATAAATGAGTTTCCATCCTCTGAACAAGCAACAAAACTGTAGCGGTGTGATAAAATAATTTAGTAAACTATACCAAAAATATTCTTGCCATATATCAATACAGCAGCCCATGATATTGGTACTGTATCATCACATGAAACGATACGATATAATGAAATTTCTATATTTTTACACGCCCCTAATGGTAACAGTCCTAATTTTTCTTCATGCTTTCTTATTGCTTGTTGGGAATTATTTTGATAGTTTGTGGGGTCCTGCAAGTCTCTGGTCCAAGCTAAAAGGCTGTACTGTAGAACATTCCAGGCAAAGCAATAATATCTCCACGGATGCAGGGGAGGAACGAGCCACCATAAAAAGTTACACAGTGCACCTTTAATATATACGTATAGATTTAAGCCCATGTTTCTGAAAAATTTCCAACTTCCACATCACCAGTTAACAGATGACCCTCGAACCTTGAACTAAACCTGAGCTAAATGCAGCTCATGTTAAACACATTATGGTTAGCAGCACAGAGTCCAGAGACTGTGGATATCTACAGAAACAGGTCAAACTGTATTGGTTTAGCAGAGTAAATATTGATCGCTTTTAGTCAGGTCAAAGCAGCAACAAAACACACAGCGCTTTCTACATATCAACAAGCTCTTCTTTTTAGCACAGCAACATCAACCTTTAAGTATATCCTTTTATATACAGGGATATACACTAAAAAATAAATGTTGATCCTATTTAAATATGTCACCTTTTTCATTTAAAGGTCCTGTATTAAGCAAAACTGAATTTTGTGAGCTTTAAGCCATGTTATAATGTTGTTATCTCCTCAAAAACATACTTGGAGTTGTGTTTTATTTCATTCCCACATGTTTGAGTAACCTTTTATTATTAGTCTGTCTACATCTCCAATGCTCAACATGCTCTGTTCCACCTTGTGATGTCATGAAGCAGTAGTTTTCATGTTAACAACTACTTTTCACCTTTAGTTCTTTAGAGAATGGCAATTCCACTGCTGAAAATATCCAACTGATTCTAGTAAAGGTGTAAAAAGTTTAAAAACAATGGAGCACTTTCTGTATTACCACATGTTTTTGGTTGACAGAAGAACTCAGCATAAATCTGCAGGGTTTGTGAGTTTGTGAATGAAAGAAAACACAACTCCAGGTATGTTTGTGATGAAGAAACAACATTATACTAGGAGTGTGCAAAAATATTGAAATATCGATATATCGTATTATTTATTGTGACGATACAGTATCGATACCCTAGGCTGCTATATCGATATACCAGCAAAAGTATTTTTTGGTATATTTTACTAAGTTATTTTGTTACAGTGCCACAGTTTTGCTGCACATTTCACATTTTTACTGTTTTGATGATAAAAATGTTTGTGTTTTATATTCACTTTGCACAAGAAGTGGTTTAACAAAGACTTTTAGTATCACAGACATGATTTAGCCTTTATTTTTTATTGAACCATATTGAAATATATCGTATTGAATCTTATCGAATCAAAAGTGCACTGTATTGAGATATGTATCGTACCGTGGCCTATGTATTGAGGTATGTATCGTATTGGTAACTTCTGAATGATACCCAGCCCTAATTATAACATAGATCAGAAAACAGCCTAATAAGGGCACTTTAATAATTTTGTGTTGATCCAAAGCAAGTAATGTGTTCTATAAGTCTGTATGAATTATGTATGTATTATTGATCCAAATTCTACTTGTCTAACCTAAACTTGCCTAAACCTTTGACATAATGGGAGTATCTATATAGGTCTCCACAACAATAAAAAGTTGTGAATAAACTGGGACTAAAATCTAAAGCAAAATGCAAACTTGAGCGGGTCTAAATCAGAGCTAAACCAGGACCAAACCAAGGCTTTGCATATTTGTAACTTACATTGACACGCTGAGCTGGGTTCAGTCTCACTGCCTTGTTCTAGGAAAAGAAAAAGCAAGAAATTAGCAGAAAATAAACAGAAGTGTGTACAGTGCTGATGTAAGAGTACCATTACTGCAAAGTCATATTACTATCATTATTTCAATTTCTGTCTGGATCATTAAAGTATATATCTATCTATTCATCTATCTATCAGATCCTACCATCATTTACTAGTGGAAATATAGAGCAGTGATACAAGAAATTACACAAGTGGGTACAACTAGTGTAAAATTAACTGTCTGAACGTAAATTCATATTACTGGAAAGATAAAATATTAAATATTGCACAAAATTTGGTCACTTTCAAGTACAGAAGACAAAATGGAGAAAAATAAAATCTAATTTGAAAGAGTAGTAAACTACTCAACGGTTGCTTGTAAAAAATTATAAGAATTATGTTTAAATTGTTAATCTCATTTTCAAAAAGAGAAGAGGGGGTGGGATTAAATAAGTTTTCTTCTTCCCACTCCTTTTTGGGCCAATTTTTTTATTTTTTTATTTATTTTTTGTTGTTGTTATTTCTGCTATGATTTTATTAATGTTGTGTGTTCCATTGTAAAAGAATGTGCATTTCTTACTTGCCCAAAATAAACACATAAATCAAAAAGCAAATTAACAGGATGCAGATTACAAAAATATCCTCAGCCATTTTTTTTTTTTTTTTTTTCCCGAAAACTTGTATTAAAATGGGTCATCAAACTGATTAGAAATAGATAAAACGACCACAATTTTAGATCCACAATTTCTTAAGTGATGCAGTATTATGACAAATATTATCCAGCAATTAGCATTCAATTCTTAAGCCACTTTTAAATTAATTTCACAAAACTTTGGTACTTACGAGCCAAGGCAAGCCCACTCAGCAGCAATAAAATGCCCACCCTGCTGTACCCCATTGTGGGATAAATAATGATAATAATAAAACCCCTGTCTCCCCCTCAGCTCCTTCAATTCGAACTAAAAGACTAAAACTAGTGTCAGATCTTTATAAAGCGCTCTTTAGTTTGGCCCAGCCCCAAAGAAAGTCCAGAACGACAGAATTACAAAGTCCAGTCTGGAGCTCCCTGTGTGTTCTGGTGCTACACTTTGAACAGTGGGGGTGTTAATGACAAAAAAGTATATATATTTAAATTTCATAGGGAGGGTGAATCCAAAAAAATTAGGAGTAGTTTTGGACTCTAAAATATCTGAAATTCAAAAGTTATATAAAAAAATAGGTCTGCAAGATTAAAGGTCCTATATTATGTAAAATTGTGAGCTTTAAGTCATGTTATAATCAAAAACATATCCAGAATTGTGTTTTGAGTAAACTTTTATTATTAGTCTTTTTCTTTTCTTTTTTGCTTTCCTCTTTGTTCTTTGCTGTGTGGCCCAACAGTGCAGACGACCTATTGTGTATTTCATCTCCTGTCACTTTCCAAGGCCCCAGTGCTGTTTGGAGCTAAGCCTGACATCCCTGTTGAACTTTGGTGGAGGAAGTGCAGAGGATGTCAAGCTGGAGTGAAACTGAAACAGCAGAGAAGGAAATTCAAGCCTGCGGTTCCGTCAGTCCTGATGGCGAACGTAAGGAAATAAGATGGATGAACTGTGTGTGTTTGTATCATCTGCTTCACGAAGACCTGGTTTCATACTAACTTCATACTAACAACAGTGCATCTGTGCCAGGCTTGTGTGTAGCAAGTTACTGGAGATTTTCTACCAGTCTGTGGTCTGCAGCGTTGTGTACTTGGCTGTGCTCTGCTGGGAGAGCAGCACTAGTAAAAGAGACATTGGGCAGACTGACAAACTGATTCGTTTGCTTGTCAAATGACTGGAGATATTTGGCACAGTGAAGAACAACAGGACACTGGACAAACTGCTCTTCATCATGGACACTCACTCACTGCTCACCCACTGCACAAGACTACAGAGGGACAGATAATACTCCCTACAACTGTACAACAACTCACCCTTATGTAACACATAATACTCCCTACAACTTGACAACGACTCACCCTTATGTCACAGATAATACTCCCTACAACTGTACAACAAATCACCCTTATGTAACAGATAATACTCCCTACAACTGTACAACAACTCACCCTTATGTAACACATAATACTCCCTACAACTTGACAACGACTCACCCTTATGTCACAGATAATACTCCCTACAACTGTACAACAACTCACCCTTATGTAACAGGTAATACTCCCTACAACTGTACAACAACTCACCCTTATGTAACAGATAATACTCCTACAAACTGTACAACTCACCCTTATGTAACAGATAATACTCCCTACAACTGTACAACAACTCACCCTTATGTAACAGATAATACTCCCTACAACTGTACAACTCACCCTTATGTAACAGATAATACTCCCTACAACTGTACAACAACTCACCCTTATGTAACAGATAATACTCCCTACAACTGTACAACAACTCACCCTTATGTAACAGATAATACTCCCTACAACTTGATAACGACTCACCCTTTTGTAACAGATAATACTCCCAACAACTTGACAACAACCCACCCTTATGGAACAGATAATACTCCCTACAACTATAGAACAGCTCACACTTATATATCGGATAACCCAATGTCTTCCTATGACCTCTTGTATAAAGCTTTGATTTTAAATTTTATTACTCATCTTTTTATTTTATTTTGACTTGTACATTTACATTTATATAATTACGTCTTATTTCACACCTGTCTTTTGCTATATTTTTTGCCACTTATTTAGAATTTATTACCATTTATATTGTTGCTCTTTTTTATTATATTATTTTGTGATGTGTGAGCTCCTGTGTCTAAATAAGTCTAAGTCTAATTTACACATGTTTGAGTAATCCTTTATTATTAGGCTGTCTACATCTCCAAAGGTCAAATGCTCTATTCCACCTTGTGATGTCATGAAGTGGCAGTTTTCAAATTAACGGGTACCTTTTGTCTTTTGTTTAGAAGAGATCGGCAATTCCAGATCTGAAACTAACCAAATGAGAAGAGTGAAGGTATATGGAGTTACATTTGTATTGCCACATGACATTACAAGGCTGAACAGAGTGTTTTTAGTTTGAGAGAAGAACTCAGCCTAAATATGCAGGGTTTGTGAGTTAAACATGTGTGACTGAAACAAAACACAACTCCAGGTCTGTTTGTGATGAGGAAACAACATTATAACATAGATGGACTTTTTCTTTTTGCTTGTTCATGAAATCTGCAGAGTTCAGTTTGTTCCTCACAGCTGATATAGAAATGGGTCACAGTCAGGAATCTCATCAGGTGAACTTTGAAAGAATGTACAGCTGATTGGACGATAAGAAATACAGATAGAAATACACTGTAGAGACTTGGGTACAGTGCCGGTACAAGATTATCTAATGTAAGATTATGTCATTGTGAGTTAAAGGTGCATTGTGTAAGTTTTTTGGTGGCGGGTCCGTCAAATACTTGTCTCCATGGAGATGTTATCACTCTGTCTGGAATGTTTCACAGTGTTGTATCAAACCTTTCTATCTTCATGGAGACCAAATCAGACCAAGTTACAAGTCAGATCTGTGAAGAGGCAACCCTGCTCACGGTCAGAATGCCTGTTTTTCTAGGTATTTTTGAGCTATAAACCACCTGTAATTGAATAAATGTAAGGCAGAGCTGTTTAATGCCATACTGTGGAACATTCCTGGCAGAGCAATGACATTTACAGGTGACAGACCCTCAACCAAAAAGTTATACAGTCCACCTTTAAGGCGGTAAAAATCTACAGTGTAGTTCCGAAATATGTATTCAACTTAAAATTAAAGTATTGAAAATTAGATACTAATCGATATTAAAACTACTGTAGTATTGAATCTAGATACTCAATCAATCAATCAATCGACAACTTTATTAATCCTAAAGGGTAATTCAGTTCGCACATCTTTGGTCGTGCACAATCTATAAATAATGGAAGAAAAAGAAAAACAGACACCAAACATTCAAACCTCAGTGCATCAGGGACCTAAAAGCAAATTTACTTTCCATTTAAAAGCCTTATGGCAGAAGGAATAAAAGATTTGGTGTAGTGGTTAGTCTTTTGCTGTGGGGTGACATATTGCCTTCCAGAGGGCATTCGCACGAACTGTGAGCGCAGTACATTTTGCATGGACCACTACAGGAGTTACCTAGACCACTGAGGGATTACACAGATATAAGACCACATGGGAATAGAAAAGAAAGTACGAGGATTTAATGTTGAAAATCACATTCTCAGGCTCTTTCTCACACAACTCTCATTCTCAAATATACATGCGTAAATATACATGCGTATTGATTTTTGACTTGTTTTTTCAATACCACAACTCTGTTCTCACGTGGTAAAGGACATTGGCCCAAACTCTGGCACTTTCAATATAGAAACTCAAACATATGCAAAAAGCAAATATTTAAGAGCACCCAGAATCTATCTACAAAGGATTTCACACACGAGTCAGAATACAGAGTGTCCTACAGTAGCCCATATAGGCCAAATATCCAGTGTACTGTTGGTGTAAATGTCTTGTTTAATTTTCCAGAACACATATATTACATAGAGAAGGGTTGATTTATTTGCTAATCTGACATCTTTCAGTTTTCTTCATCATAAGTATTTGGATAAATCTGGATAAATACTGTAAAATGTGTATTTCAATTGCATTTTTACAAAAAATGTTTTAATATATCGAGAAAAAAGTCTTCCAGGCACAAAGCTGAATCCCACGGTCAGAGTGAGTGCACTAAACCAGTGATTTTCTGTGGTCACTGAGGGCAGGACTGACGCTTCAGAGCTGCTGTGTCAAATGACAGAGAACAGAAAACACATGACCACAGTGGAAGAGCTGTTTTGCAAATTTCAGTAGAGAAGTGTGTCAAAGCAATTGCAAAAAAACTTGAAGTCCTGGTCTGGCCTTGTTTTAGTCCATTGTTGTAAATACCACTATTTGCAAAATCTTTAGTTTTGGATATCATCTGTACTGAATACACCACAGAATGCATAACTGTTAATCGCTGTTGAGTAGTATTATTTTTGTAATAACAGAACCTGCCCTGCAACATTTTAGTTTATTAGTCCTCCCACATGTGTCAGCTCTGTGTCAGTGCATGGCTGAACCAGTTTGCTTTTGTTATTATTTTGAGAAGAGGAGGAGAGGGAGAGAAGAGGCAGAGGAGGAGAGGAGAAGAGAAGAGGGGGAGAAGAGGATTGCACTGGCAGAGAGACAGACACAAGTCTCAGCATCTCTGCATTTTAGGCTCTGCCCCCATTAATGATCACAGTTACCCTGTCAATAGTAATACATTCTCATTTGAACTTTATATTAGGGTGGGCAAAAGTATCGGAAATTGGATACTAATTGATACTCAAACTAGTATTGAAACTAGATAACCATTTTTTGCAGGTATTGATACTAAAAAAAGTCACATTCACAAAACAGGAATAAACCTTTCCTAAATAGCTTTAGAATGATCTTGAGCTGTATCAGAACAAGTATAAGAGCAAAACACATAGACTAGAATATGCCAATGGACACTAAGGAACCTACCTGACCACTGAGGGATGACACATATATAAGACCACATGGTAAAATAAAAGAAAGTACAAGGATTTAATTTTGATAATCTGTTTTTTAGTATTGAAATGGAGTTTGAAATTTTAGTATCGTGACAACTAGAGGTGAGATCGGGCCTAAAAAATCCAGCCCGACCCGACCCGGCCCGCGGGTATTAAAACCCGACCCGGCCAGAGCCCGACCAATTAACTTGATTTGCAGGCCCGAGCCCGAAGCAAACCCGAAATGTCATATTTTATTTGTGAGGACTCGGGAGGAGGAGCAGTGCTCAGCGTCGAGGTGTCAGTCTTTTTGCTCTCGTATGAAAGCAAAGCGCCACATTGACGACATTCAGCGAAGCCAACGCAAGTTTCTGTAGCATTTTCAACAATCAATTTGAAGCTTTTCCACACCTCACTCTTACCGGTGCGTGTTTGTCTTTTCAGTTCTCCCTGCCTTTAGTTTAACTTCTTGCTCCTCCATATTGGGGATACCAGGTCAAAATAGATGCAGACTTGCGGAGGGGAAGATGATTAAATGAAGAGGGGGCGTTCACGTGCGCAGAGCTCTGGCTCTGCGGATCCTGTTTAGTAGTTAAATAGCAATTACATTACATTACTTCTCTGTTTTATCCATATTATTTATTTTATAACAAGTATTCCTTAGTTTAGTATCCACACATCATCGTTTTAGCATACATTTTAAACATATATTTATTTGAAGCCCGAGCCCGACCCGAAGTAATGATGATCTTACCTCTAATGACAACACAAGTTTATATTAGTTTAGGAGCCTGTATGAAAAGGCCCCACCTCTTTGTGATGTCTCCTCCACCTCTTTTCTGTAGTAATAAGTTACTGAAGAATTGCAATTTATTTTGACGGCTCTGTGAAAGAGAGAAGTCATTGGAATTAGCGGTAAGTAAACATTTTTTTATATCAGGGCAAAACTGACATCATTGTGCCAGCAATTGACTGTTACTAGAAGAATGAAATGTATTTTCCAGATGATTAATTGTGATTGAAAGTCTATTATTAATTATATTTTTTATAATGATTAATTATAAAAATACTAAAGACTTGCATGTGAGTCAGTATAGTCACATTTTCTTTGTGTTTTGGTCATTTTTAAGCAGCTTTTCTGTATTTTACCTAAACAAATGACAATGTAAGCCTCTCTTTACTGTTGACAGGGATCAGATTGGGGACACCTGGGACATTTCTTGTATAAAGCTGGGACAAATCTCTGGTTTTGGATAAATCTGCTGGGACAGGGAACATAGGGGTCAAACCTGGGACTGTCCCGAATAAAGACATCTGGTCACACTATATTATGATAGACTGATATGATAGATTACACACAGGCACAGGAGAGGTTAGTAGTACTTTTTGAACAAATTGAAATTCTCAGAGTAGTTCTACCATACTTTTAATCCCATTTGAGTATATCAATATTAAAGTAATAGTACTATTTCATCTTGAGTAAAGGTTTCAGCTACTTTTCCTCCTCTGAGCAAGTCTATAGCAATATGACAAAAATAAAAGATACAATCTTTTGGATTTCCTAATCTAACCTCAGTGTTTCTCATTAACAGAGGAGACTATGGTGGCTTCTCCAAAGTCAAATTTTTGCCTCCATAGTCTCAAAGTAAGCAATAAATTAGCATTTAAAGTAACACTTTTTGGTTGTTGTATTATCATAAATATATAATAAATTTATATCATCTTTAATCAGTCTGTTATTGATTAATAGGGGCAATAATTGGCATATCCACTCCAAAATTTGTATTTATTTATTTTTTTTCCAATTTATGATTGCCTGGGCCACCATAGTCTTGTAAAAATCTAAGAGAAACACTGAAGCTACAGAAATTATTTAGTTGTTTTCTCATTTTTGTGGTCTACGCTTTGAAAATGCCATAATCTGTGCATAGTTTGATGTTCTGTTCTTACATTACGTTAACTTCCAAACAAAAATCAGATGCTACTTCCACTAGAGTAGAATTTTCTTTATGCTACTGTAGTAATAAAGTACATAATAATAACGTGTGTTTCCCCTAGGCTACTTAGGCAAGTAAAAATAAACAAAAAAAATTGATAATGATAATATGCAATTTTATTACCTCACAGCCCAAATTGTAGAAAAAAGAGGCACTATCAAAAAGAGGCAATAGAGTTAAGTGTTACTAGTAAGAAAGTTATTATAGCTAAGTCTTGATTTCCACACGAGGGGGAAAAAAAAGTCAAAATTGTGTTGTGTTTGTAATGTTTTTTAATGTAAATCTCGCGGCATCAATGGAAAAAGTGTGATAGTGAAGCTAGGTCACGCTACTTCAAAAATAACATTATTAAACTCCATCGCATCAAAAATTACTTACCGTCTTTATGTGGGGAAAGTTGCTATTTAAAAACACGTAGAAAATATTTTAATTGTAATAAATCTATACAAAAAAATTACTAATCCGGTGCAGCAGATGATCAGATGGTGGAGTAGTTCTCCCCTTTTCTTGCGTTGCACCGTTAGAAGAAGCAAACTCTAGAATAACCCACCGGAAGTGTCCCTCCTCCTCCAGAAATACTGAAAACATCGGCTATCCGCTATGCAGAAGTACTGCATCTTAAAAGTAAAGCGCTCTAAAACTTATTCTTAAAATTTTTTTGCAAAGGAATATCTATTTATTGGTCGCGTAACGCAGTACATTAAAGAGACGAACATGAAAGCAAGCGCGCGTTTGACGCAGATTGAAAAAGCGACTAATGATGCAAACCTTAGCCTATTATTGAAAATTACTTAGCGTATGCAGTCTTAGTGGGTTAAAATACAGTTAATTTAGACTAAACTATAGCAGGTGTAAATGCTAAACTCGGGACTAAAGCTTTAAAACTGGGATCGAATGAGGTAAGGAATCTTCGAGGTCGCTGGATCGATTTAGAAAAGAAAATTGCTTATGATTTCGTGTGTTGCAGTGTTAAAATGTACAATTAGAATTAAGTTATACTAAAGCATTGTAAAGTAATACCTTATGACATGCTATTATAGAATTTAAACCTAGAAGTCTGGAGCAGCTGATAAGAAGCTACTGTTTATTTTCACGCGCTTTTGACGCCACTCCTGCAAACTACTTAAAAATGTAGTTACAATGTTAAAGTCACTGAAAAAGCGTATTCAACTTACTATAATGTAATAATATTGGCTATATATACAATAGGCCTATTCGTGGAATAGGTCGGTAATTTCTCTTTTCGATAGAATTCGCTATAATCATTTTAATTATAGTTTTTTTTACTCATAATGCAATAATATGAACTAAGGGCATAAATAACTGAATTCAAACCTGCACTAAAACTTAAAAGCTTGTCATTACACTGTTTATGTCTTAGTAACAAGATTTTATGATTCAGGAAGTTAGATTTCATTGGTCACATACATATCATAGACATATTTATCATGTGTACAAAATCTTTGCAATAATGAGGGAGGCATTTGTTATTTTTTGTTGTAATATAAGATTTGAGCAGTAGAGAATTGAGTATGTAACTTCTATGGCTAATTATTGGTCCATTCTGATATTGATTTATTTATTTGATGCAACTTAGGCGTTTAAATGATACTCAGTATTTAAAGGTGCACTGTGCAACTTTTTGGTTGGGGGTCTGTCACCTTTTGTTTCCATGGATATGTCATTGCTTTGCCTGGAATGTTCTAAAGTTATGACATTAAACAGCTTTACATTTCATTTATTCAATTACCGGTGGTTTTACTGCTCAAAAATATCCAGAAAAACAGGCATTCTGACTGTGAGCAGGTTCGCCTCTCCACAGATCTGACCTGTATCTTGGTCTGGTTTGATCTTGGTAAATGGTCACATTTGTATATAGCGCTTTTCCATCTTCAACACACTCAAAGTGCTTTACAACAAGGAACCACTCACCCATTCGTGCACATTCATACACCAGTTTACGCAGACACTGGGGGCGAGGTGGGTTAAGTGTCTTGCCCAAGGGCACAATGATAGCATTCATCTGTGGGAGCTGAAATCACACCAGTCAACCTGTGGGTCAGTGGATCTGACCACTCAACCAGTGATGTTTATGTCAAGAGCGGGATTCCAACCACCAACCTTTGTATCAGTGGACAAACTTCTTGTTTGGTTTCCATGAAGATAGAAAGGTTTAATACCATACTGCGGAACATTCCAGACAAAGCGATAACATCTCCATGGAGACAAGGATTTGACAGACCCTCCACATGAAACGTTACACAATGCACCTTTAAAAATGGCTTTCTAGGATTATTATGTCTGTGATATAAAGTAGTAAAAAAGTTTCAATTTTATAATTTATTTATTGTTATATTTCTCTGCAGCAATTGTCATGCTTCAGAATGTGTTATCATGCCAGATCTAAACATGTAAAAAGAGAATCTGGTGGTATTGTACTTTCCAGTGATACTGGCAAACATGCACTGATATAAAGCCACTCCCTGAACCACAGACTTGGCTCTGAGATTATGACTCACCCTATTGACCTAAGTGAGTAGTACAAACATTTTTTTTGTTTTGTTTTGTCAGTTGATAGGTTCCAAGATGCTGTCACCTTTAAGACCTGCTAGAAGTGCCTTTTATTCTACCATCAAATGTACAGGTAAAAAAAGTACTATTGTTATTATGTTCTAGTGTTGTCACGATATTCAAATTTCAAGCTTTCAAGGAATAATCAATAAAATTTCTGATACCACAATGATAGTAAAAACACTCTTTATTTAGGCAATAGAAGGTGAGTTTCAACATTAAATCTGTTCAGGAAAGGTTCATTTCTGTCCTGTGAATGTGACTTTTTTAGTATCGATACCTGCTCAAATGAGTATCCAGTTTTGATATAAAATTGAGTGTTGATTAGTAACTGATTTTTGATACTTTTGACAATCCTAGTCCTAAGTATTGAGACTGAAATATTAGTATGACAACTCTTAAGGTAAACATAGTATTATGAGGTAAACAGTATTATGATCTTATTTGATTTATGAGAAATAAAACAACACAACAAAGCATGCATGAGATCTTCAATAAATAATCTGAATTTAGAAAGACATTTTAACTACCTGTGATTCATTCGTAAGGTCATTTTTGTACTTATGACCTTTCAAAATTTACACAACAGCTCTGCAAACATTAACTGCATGGATTCTGTTTACATATTAACTTCAGTAAAATAAAACTGGACTAGGGAGCATTTAAAATAGTGGTGTCCTGAATGTGAACCTGCTTGTCAATAGGTCTGTTCGGTGGGATATTGTTTTGTAGGATTTTCAATGGAGCAGTGTAATTCTTTAAGCTCTTTGAGTCCATTTGAGTTGAGGAAGTTGATCAGAGCTGCAGATCCAAGGATTAAAACTACAACTGGGTTAGCTTATGGTAAGGAATGCTACATATGTATGGATTTTTGCATGCAAGATTAATTAATCTGAAACTGAAATTGCAATTTGAATCATCACAATTAGCAAAAAGGATGCACTTCTCTGCAAATAACAAAATAATATTCTTCTTTAGACTTTAATGATCATGTTCTGAAATGCATGTGATTCTTGTTTTAGTTTATCAGTTTGTATTTCAGTCATTTCTCAAATACATTTCTGCATGAAAGCTGCTAATCCTGTTTAGATCTTCACAAACATGTTCTGAAATGCATGGATTGTTGTATTAGTTATTAGTATTTCATATTTCAGTCTTCTTTCAAATGGTAATACTCTAAGACGCACTTGATTTTAGCACTATGAACCCAGTCTTGATTTTAAATACATTATTGCAATAAGGGATGCACCAACCTGATAGTGGTATGGGATATCGGCGCCAATATTGAAAAATGTGGATATTGGTTTCCAAATATTGATTCAGTAAATCAATGTAATAAGACTATTTATTGGTCACAGTTGGTCGAGAAAGTCTCATAATGTTTGAATTTTTATTTATATTAAATTATTTAGCAGTTTGTAGTTGAGCGATAAATAACAGCTATATATTTTATTTTTAGGAAATAAATGCTGTTTTCAGTGCTGCACTGGTATTTGAATTTATTATCAAAATTGGTATCTGGACAGAAAACCTGGATCGATGCATCCCTAAATTTGCCACTAGGGCAGGGCCTTATCATATCACTCATGATATGTTGAAATGTGTAATATTGTGATGTAATTACACTGATCAATGCATGCAAATACTATTTCACTCTTCTACTTCTACTATTATTATTACTTTGAAGTTTTACTCTAACTTGAGTATATATTTTGGCTATTCTGCCACCTCTGCCACTGTCTAGTCGACTACTAAAATAATTGCTAGTTTGCCCTAACCATATTACTCCTCCCTTATTGCAAATGAACATTAAAGGTGCACTGTGTAACTTTTCTGGTGAAGGGTCCACCACCTGCTTGTCTCCATGGAGATGTCCATCTTGTATTTACTCAATAACATGTTTGTTACTGGCCTAAAATCTAGCATTAAATAAGTAAAAGATAAGTAAGTGCAATGCAATACTGTGGAACATTCTGGACTGTACCTCCATGGAGAGAAGCAAGTGACGTACCCTCTAGCAGAAAAGTAGAAAAGTTACACAGTGCATTTTTAAACTTGTTATTAAATGGTTGTTGAGCAGAACTGCTCAACTATTATTGCTGCTGCTCAGCGGCTTATTTAGTGACATCTCTCAGTGGGTGGATCTAGCTAAAAGAATATTTCATAACTCTGCCTGACAGGATTCCAGCAAGCCAATGTGCTTGTGCTGCCATCAGCACTCTCCAAAGATTTTGAGGAATTCTGTGGAAAAAACACGGCTCCTCTGCCTCTGCTCTATGTCAGCAAGTCTGGAGAGATGTCCTGTACACCTTTGGCTCAACATGCAGACATAAGGTGAGTGAATCTATCCTTATTTAAAGGACCAATACTACACTGTTTTCCAATCTGTTGTTGTTGTTGAACTGTTAATGTTGTTTTCTCATCACAAACACACCTGGAGTTGTGTTTTATTTCATTGTTAACTTGAAAACTACCACTTTATGACATGAGCTTTCGAGCTGTAGCCAGACTAATAATGCAGGATTATTCAAACATGTGTGAATGAAACAAAACACAACTCCAGATATGTTTTTAAGGAGGTAACAACATTATAGCATGGCTAAAAGCTCAAGAGTCAGTTTTACTTAATATAGGGCCTTTGAAATCAAGGTTTATTTATCCAAATGTTTTAAAAGTACACTTTGTAACTTTTCTGCTGGATGATATGCTACATGCTGGTCTCCATGGATATGTTTTTGGTTTGTTATGTTTCACAGTATAGCATTAAACTTATCTGTCTGACATATAACTTGGCCTAGTAGTGTAACTGCAGGGGAATCCTCCTGTTTGTCTCCATAAGATGTTATTGCTCGCTTGGAATGTTCCACAGTATTGCATTAAATGAAGCAGCATGGGCACAAGCAGGTGACATCACTGGTCAAGTTACAGGTCAGATCTGTGGACAGGTGATCACACTTAAGGCTTAAATGCATGCTTCCGGAGTTATATTTGTGAGCAATATAAACACAATGATACAACATAACAAACCCTCCACCAGAAATGTTACATAGTGCAACTTTAAAATGGGGCATAGTTAAATGCGCATTGGACATAGCTAACTTGCAAACCACTGCTTCCAAACAGGAAGTGAGCATGGGCACACTTCAGCTCCGTGACTCCTCTCTCTGTAACTGCTTGTTATTTTGGTCTTAAAATGTTCATATTAACTCGCTCTGCGTGATCCTGGTGTTCTTATTTCACTATTTTGTTCATAAATCAAGATATGAACATTAATAACAGATAAATCATGTGTCTTTCAAGCTTTAACAACAGGTTTGATTGACAGTGTTGCTTGCTTGCTCCTTGCCAAACCAGCAAACCACCTTTAGTTGCTATGATATTCACGGTCGTAATTGTTAATTTGATTTAGTGTTTAGTCTCACTATGAACCATATTCCAACTATAAGAACGCCTGCTGTTAAATAACATGACCTAAATGTACTTTGACCCAATTGGTGATCTATTATTATGTCTGGTATTGTTTTGAAAGACTTTGCAGACAGGTAAATAATTCCAGGGTGTGTATGACTTGATAGAGACTACTAGTCTGGATCATGTGTTTCAGGTATTTTTGATTGTCATTGTCGTTGTACTCCGATTGGCACAAGTGCTTACTTAGTCTTGGCAAACACATTGACATAGTTTTGGTAACAGAATGTAATATGCAATTATTTATCTATTTATTTAGTTAGTCATTCATGTTTTGCAATTATAGACTCTCTCCTCCTCTCGTAATAGTCGGTAATAGTAGTCAGTATTTATGTGTACAGATTTCCATAAGAAATAACAAAAAAAAACTGTAATTTATTTAGGGGTAATATCAGGGATTCCACTGTTCTCACCAGTACCAAAATTTCATAAATTTTTTGTTTGTTTGTTTTGTTGTAGATTTATTTTTTGTTTATTTTTATTTTTAGTAATGCACCCACTCTAATCCCAATTAAACACCACAAACCTATATGATTTTGTGAAATTACTCAACATTGCATTATTTTCTATGTATTTCCAGGACTGATATTTCCCAGTACTGTGTTTATGAGAAAGGAAAACTGCTGAAAACTGTCTCAAACCTGAATGACTACACCAGCCCACTTAAGTAATAGTTACAGCCTTTTACAGTATGTTTTGCCTCACGAGTTCCAGTTTTAACTAGTTGTCTTCTGTGTGTCTGGACAGGGACATGGTATGTTTTTATCTGGGCTGCAGCTTTGGTTTCGAGGGGAAACTTAAAGAGGCTGGAGTCCCCGTGAGGAATGTGGAGCAGAAGAAAAATGTCAGCATGTACAGGGTGAGTCAGCTGTGTTATTTGAGACTGACATGAACACTTGAGTCAAATGTATAGGCGTATTGTGTAACTTTTCTGGTGGAGGATCTGTCAAATGCATTTCTCCATGGAGATGTTATTGTTTTGTCTGGAATGTTTCACAGTATGGCATTAAACCTTTGTATGTATTGTACATTTAGAATGCCTGTTTTTTTAGGTATTCTAGGTATTTTTGAGCAATAAAACCACCTGTAATTCAATAAATGTAAGTTAGAGCTGTTTAATGTCATACTATGAACCATTTGAAGCAGAGCAATAATATATCCATGGAAACAAGAAGCTGATGGACCCCCAAATGAAATGTTACATAGCGGGCATTTAACAGTTTTAAGACCCCATATTACACCATTTTCTGATCTATGTTATAATGTTTCTTCATCAAAAACATTCCTGCAGTTGTATATTGTTTCATTTACACATGGTTAACACACAAACCCTACATATTTAAGATTTCTTCTCTTAAACAGAAAAACACTGTTTAACACTGTGGTAAAACAGGATATGCTTTACTGTGTTATTAAACTCCTTACACCTTCACTAGAATCGCTTATTTTAGCCTTGGAATTGCCTATTTCCACTAAATAAAGGGTAAAAGATATCTGTTAACTTGAAAACTACTGCTTCATGATATTACAATATGGCATTAAACTTATCTATCTCCATAGAGACAAGCAGGGGACAGCACCAGATCAATTTGCAGGTCATATCTAACACCTGTAATTGAAAACATCAAAATGACTTCAGTTTAATGCCATACCATGAAACATTTCAGGCAAAGCAATAAATTGTATGACAACCAACAGGTGGTAGACCCCAGACTAGAAAGTTAGTGTTCCTTTAGTAGACGATTTAATTTTGAGAACCTTTAACATTTTTGTAATTACTGTTTTAATTTTAAATCAGTTTTTAAAACAGTGGACAGTGGGCAAAAGACCAAATCTCAGCTATAACTGTTCTCTATTCTTTACACGTTTTTGTATGGACTGCACAGCTGTGTTTGTGTGCAGACCTCTGTGCCCTGTGTACCAGCTGGAGTCTTTCAGTGCCTCCTGGTGGTCACAATGCGTCCTGTTCCGGCTCAGATGCTGGATATTGTAGTGGAGGTCACCCACCTCAACCCACTGGCCCATGGAGCTCCTGTGCACATAGGAGACCCAGGTAAAAACAATTACGAGTCTGCATGATTGTACTGAATGTTACTATGTTTTAACTATCCATGACCATCCACGCCAGAGTGATGAATAATTAGCAGTGTCATCACAGCAATAAACAATTCAAAACAATGTATTAAAGTGCATATGACAGGTCCTGATGATTCTCACATTTTTACTTAATTTGGTGGAACTAGTATATGCCCATGAAACACTATGGAACCTACCTGGACCACTGAGGGATTACACAGATATAAGACCACATGGTGATAAAAATAAATAATGATCAACTGTCTCATCAGATGTGTTTATTTCAGTTTAGTGCTTCACTCATTGATTCTGCAGAAATCCACAGTGACAGACCTTTCTTGCATCTGTCTGTGTCTCCTGCACTGTCTGATAGATAGATGATATAATATAAAATTGTACATATAAATTATAGTTTTACACAGTCAAGAAGCAAGTTGTGAAGAAAGTTGAAAAATATTTTGAAAATTACAAGAAGTCCAGAATTCTGTATTGATGACGTGACACTGGGAGAATTTTATCCAATTCTATTCGGCACAGTTTTCACAAAAGATGCTTTTAAATTTTATTTAATCAAAATAAAGGTGTTTTCTTATATTTTTGTTAGTCAGATATTTATTTATTTGCACATTAGAGGAATTTTGGCTCAGTGTACATTATGGTTGTTGCTAACAGTTATGGAAGTAAAGTTTTAAACCTAAAATTATGGCCAAATTGGGACAAATCTTAAATATAATTATCTTAAATGTGTTTTAGTGAAATGGCCAAAAGTACTCAAAATAAAACCTAAAACAAGAAGTTGGAACGAATCAACAAAATAAATGTGATGTAATGTTGATGCAGTTTGTGTAAATTATTGAGTATCAAAAATTTAAAAATCACTCTCCCCTTTAGTCTTCCAGTGTAGTACAGATTGTATAAGCAGCTCTGGCTCTGAAGGTAAAAAGGAGACTATTGCGCTCCGTCTGCATCTAATTATAAAGAGTTTCATCCTCCAAGAAGCAGGTAGTGCGCATTTAGCATGCTAGTTGTTGTTAGCATTATGGTGATGTTTAACTCTGTTCTGGCCTCTGAAAGTTGTGAAAAGCCCTTATAAACATGGTGAATAATTATGATGCTAGGAACACATACGCTAAGTGAGGAATAACTTTGGACCACTGCAAACCATTTAAAATGAACTAGCTTGGTAAAAATATGACACAGCACCTTTAACAGCCTATTTGCACTTTAAAAAAAAAAAGAAAAAAAAGCTTATTTGCACTGTGGTGGTGGGTGGAGTTTAGGTGTTAAGTTATATAATCTCTTTTTTAGTGCAGACCTATTGGGCGATGTGGTGTCATTTGAAACCCAATAAAAGCCTCTTTTTAATATTTAATGTGTTTCAGCTCTATTGGGGATCCAGGACCTGTCCAGACCAGAGTATGGGGACGCAGTGGAGCAGCAGCCCGGAGATGTGCCTGTGTTCTGGGCCTGTGGAGTGACATCCATTGAAGCAGTTCTCACCAGCAGTAAGATATAACTGTATTTAAAAGTGTTATATTTTTACTTTTAAGTTTTAATCCATGTTATAATGCTTTTACCTCCTCAAAAACATACCTGGAGTTGTGTTTTGTTTCATTCACATATTATTAGTCTCTTAACAGCTACCCTTTACATTTTGTCCAGTAGAGATCGGCAATTCCAGGTCTGAAATTATTCCAAAAAATCCAGTGAAAGTGAATGAAACAAAACTCCAGGTATGATGGTGATGAGGAAAGAGCATTATATCAGGTACATCACAGAAAGTAGTGTAATATGGGCCCTTATTTTTTTATCTTTTACTTGGATTTCCAGAACCGGCGTTGGCTTTCACTCACTCTCCAGGCTGCATGTTCGTCACTGACCTCCCAGACTCCTCTTCCTGTCCCTCCTCCTCCTCCTCTTCTCCTCTAGACCCCAATCTCACCCCCTTGAGTTTCAAACTATCCCAGAATCCTTTGTTCTACAGCTTAGCTTCAAAGAGGGCCTTGCACAAAATCAGACAACTGGAGAACATCATCGGAGAAGATCCAGGTAGGATGAACTAGTGTTAATAGTTTGCATTCACATCTATTCAGTTTATTTTTGTATATCTCCAAACAGGGTTGTCAAAAGTATCAAAAATCTGTTATTAACTGATATTAAAACCAGTACCTAAGCTGGATACTTATTTGAGCAGGTATCGATACTAAAAAAGTCCCAAAATGAACCTTTCCTGAATAGCTTTAGAATGTTGAAAATCATATTCTATCTATCTATCATTCTATCTAGTGTTTTTATTTTCATTGTGGTATCAGAATCAGTACTGATTATCGAGTCTATTCCTTAGTATTGAAATTGAGGTTAAAATGTTTGTATCGTAACAACACTAGTTCATTTTCTATTCAAATCAGTTTATTCATCTATAGCCCAAAATGCCCAACAACATTCACCTTGCAGGGCTTAAAAAACATTGTTGATTTAAAGGCCCTCTATTATGCAAAACTGACTCTTGTGACCTTTTTAGCATAGATTATAAAGTTGCATAACACTGGCTCTTTAACCAACATTTAAGTTAGAAAACTAAAAGGTGAAACATTAATTCATTGGTTAATAACAGACAAGCAGATTCACCAATATTCACGGGAAACAAGCAAATGGATAACTGTCCCAGAGCGCCCCCTGTTTTTAGAGCCTGGAGGATAGGGCCTATATAACTCTATGGGAGATTCACAGATTTTTTTGCAAAAAATATCCAAGTATAAATTCTACACCTGTTGAACCTTACCATTATTTGTTTGGGATTGGCTCCACAAACTTTCCATAATTGCTTTTAGCCTTACAGTCCTTTCAACAGACAACAATCACATCTTTATTGCTGAATAATGGCACCACTTTCTGAAGCTATTGTCATAAAGTATTTACTTTTTGTTTATTCATGCTGACAGAGACATGGAACTTTGCCCCAGTTTTAGACCCAGTAAATAACCCAGTATTAACCATAAGGCGGGTCAGCAAATCTGCAATCTGACAATTACACAGCAAATTCCACCATAGGATTTGAACATGTCCTCCACCTCCATTTTAAACTATAAACATTATCGAAAATTGAAATATCTCATCAACACGACCTATTCTTTAGTATAGTTTGTTTTACATTTTGTATCTTGTTTATTTCAGTGTTAGTACTATGTCTATAATGATTGTCTATTGTTTTTAATGTCTCATGCTGCACTTGGAGCTTCTTGTAAATGTTTTCCAATGTAATTTTTAACTACAAATGCAAATAAACTAACCTCACTTAATGTAATTATTGATGATTATAAATAATATATTCGCGTGTTACAGGGGAGCGAGGGATCAGTGCCATCTTCCTCCCGGACGAGCTGCTGTTGTCCTGCCTCGCTCTCTCTCACTCCTCCTCTGTCCTCATCACCACCGGATTCCCCACTCACTACATGCACAAGTGAGTCTGCTCTGGGTTTATATTTCACTATTTATTTAATCTGTTGTCCTTAAAGTGATAGTGATAGGAAACAGAAAGTTAAAACCACACTTCGGAAAATTCTCCATGTAGATAGATTTGTTTGACTTACTGTACTGTGATAATATAGCCAAAGGCCTCCTCAGGCCAAATAAGAGTGAGGTTTGTGGAGATGCAAGCCTGCTCAGTACCATCAAAACATACTTATAATTTAGTCTAATTTTTGGCACATAAAAGTTACATACTATGGCTTTTAGGACAACTATATTATAGAGTGCAATAATAATAGAATGACGTGCTAATATTACAGTTACAGTAGCAATTATGGTGTTTATATAATGGAATACTGCAGGATCACTTTATATATTCTGACTTTTATAGGTGTACTATGTAACTTTTGTTGTGGGGGGTCCTGGAATGTTCCGCAGTATGGCATTAAAGATATGTAACAAGAATTTATTTACGGGTGTTTATTGGTCAAAAATACCTTCAAAAACTTATTTTGAGTGGAGTCACCTCTTAATAGATATGACCTGATATGACCAAGCCTGGTGATGTCTCTAAGGAGATAAATAAATTCGTTCCAGGTAAAGGATTAAGATCCATGGATGTAAGCTTGCAGTGTACCCTCCACCAGAAAAGTTACATAGTGTACCTTTAATTTAGTGGACTTTCCTTTGCACATCACAGCTCCTTAGATAATTAGTAAATTCATTAACATGTCTAATTTTGTCTTTGCAGTCCTCCTGATGAGACAGACGGTCCACCTGGAGCCATTGCCATGGCGAACATGCTGTTGTCTCTGGGGAAACAGGTTACCATGGTGACAGACCGGAGAGGCCTTCAGCTGAACCAGGACATCATCACCGAGGCCGTGAGCTCAGGTGAGAGAAACATTAAAAACATTAAAAAGTATTATATTTCAAGTGTAGAGAGGCCACAACGATTCCATGAAGTACACAAAAGTTCTCTGTAACTGCCAAGTAACTGTTAGCTCACTACAACTACTGTCAGAATACTTGCATCACGAATTTCAGACTTCCGGTCATCGCGCAGTGCATACTGGGAGGGATTTTCCAAAAAAGTGATCATCAAAACACCATGTTTGTTTTCTCAGTGGGATGCATCTATTGTCAAAGTTGATCTTTTCTAGTCTTTTGAACCATATCACTTTTGTTTCTGGTTCTGATATTGTCATATTTTAGTTTTGGGATTCGGACATCATAATTGTGTGGTTGTTGGAAGGCCCCACACCGGAAAACAGCTCGAGAAACAGGCTTTGGATGTTTGCGAACTCCATAAATGCAAAAGGGAATCAGATCTGTGTGACTGCAAACCTCCATGTTTCGCTTCCCAACAGAATTGAAAAATAGTGAATGGGCAGTATTGATCCACAGGACCAAAAAGGTAAGCTCTGGCTGCCTAAGAAATCATCCTGAGTTTGCAGTGAGCATTTTGTATGTGAAGCGTCATCAAAGCAGGATCCTGTTTGTTAAGCGAGAGGTACAGAAGACAAACAGGCTGAACTTGCACTTTCTTGTTCTTGTGGCTATAAAGCAACATCACATCTTGGTCGCTTTGCAGTGGAAAGTGTTTCTTGGTGAACAGTTGGTGCCTTTCGCTTTTGCGTTGACTTTTTAAATTCGGAACCGATATTGAGCAAGAGATCAGGATTTTGCTTTGATGGCGCTCCACATACAAATTGTTCACTCAAACTCTGGATGATTTCTTAGGCAGCCAGAGGTTACCTTGTTCATCCTTCCTGTGTTTGATACACAGGAAGGATGAACAAGATAACCTCTGGCTCCTGCCCATCGCCTTCGCCTTTCACTATTTTTCTATTCTGTTGGGAAGGGAAACAGTATGAATGGAGGTTTGCAGTCACACAGATCTGATTCCCTTTTGCATTTATGGAGTTTGAAAACTTCCAAAGCCTGTTTCTCAAGCCATTTTCCGCTGTTAGGATCCAACAACCACACAATTACGATGTCTGAATCCCAAAACTAAAATATGACAATATCAGAACCAGAAACAAAAGTGATATGGTTCAAAAGACTTGAAATGATCGGCTTTGTCAATAGACGCATCTCACTGGGAAAACAAACGATTTGGCGATTTGATGCTCACTTTTTTGGAGGATCCATTCCCTGGAGGTGTGATACTAAGTTTAGGCTCTGCTCTGTCTGAGGCTTCATTAAACTTTAACCTGAGCTTTATTTGAACATAACCTGACCATAAAGAACTGACTTGGTTGAAACTAGAACAGATGATTTGATTTGTGCTGTTAAACAAGTCTCTCGCACATAAAATTATAGACACAAGCTAGCACAAGCCAAAAGAGAGGTTGTTGTTTTTTTTTAGATTTTGTAAAAATAAAACAGAAAGTTTTTTTCCCTCTGTAAAGTTCTTAAATTGATCATATTCTGCCTGAAAGGTCTTATTCTCAGACCTGTACTATGTTTTGTTTAAACTTTTCTTAGTGGTTGAATGTAATTTTCAGGTGTGCTGGTCGCCCCGGTTCCTCTGGTCACTTTTGAAGACAATGGCCCAGACTCCGCCCTCAACTTCCTGTGTCACAATGGAGACGTCAACAAACCCAGGTCAGACCAAATAGATCACAGAAGATTCTGGCTTGACGCTAATGTTTTGATCTCATTGTTCTTGTATAGAGTATATGTACTTTAGCTGTTCAAACACAAATGAAGAGAGTAAAATAATGTAGCATTTTTAGTTGATTGAAATAAGTCGTATTCCTGTTGACTAATTATCCAAGTTCAAGCTCCTATATTACACAAAACTGACTCTTATGAGCTCTTAAGCCATGTTAGAATATTGTTAATTCATCAAGAAACATACTTCACGCTCCGTACTGATGATCATGTGTGTCATTATTTATTCTCAGTAATCTTCAAATCCATCAACACATTGAAACACCGTGAAAACTAAAATAAAGACAGACACAGAAAAAGGCGTAAGTTTACATAAATACCTTTAAATGAATGCATTGAAATTGAATTGAAAACAATATTTACTGTGTTCACCTGTACATCACCAGCGGTAGTTAAGTAGTGTGTCTTTTATTTTGATGTCTTTTTCTTTACACATTTTTCTCTCTATCGTCTCTCTCTAAGGTAAAAGGTCACATAACTTAAAGACAAATATTTTCACAAATAAAATATCAAATTAAAAACTGTGGTATTCTGACACATCTTAAATATTTGAACAAATAAAATAATAATTTTCTCATTTATTACCATGAAAACAAATATACTGACATTATCGTCAACTACAATATGTTTGAGTAACCCTTTATTATTAGTCTGTCTGCATCTCCAAAGCTCAAAATGCTCTGCTCCACCATGTGATGTCATGTAGTGGTAGTTTTAAGTTAACTTTTACCTTTAGTTTAGTAGAGATTGGCAATTCCAAGGTTGAAATTAGCCAAATAATTGTAGTGAAGGAGTAAAAACACAGTGAAGCACTTCCTGTATTACCACAGGACATCACAAGGTGAACAGAGTGTTTTCCATTTGAGAGAAGATGTATATACTGTAAAATTCCAGACTATTGAGCGCACCTGAATATAAGCCGCATCAACTTAAAAGAACCATAAATCTGTACATAGAGTATATAGGCTGCAACTGAATATAAGCCACAGGTGAATGTTTTCAAGTTCGGGCCATTTGTTTTTATTGTCTTTTTGCATTGAGTTAGTTTGTTTCGCCAACAACTCACCATCGACTCACTGATGCCAAACTCATGTGCAGCAGCTCTGTTTCCTTCTTCCACAGCTAAATCAATTACCTTTAACTTAAAAGTATGTGCATATGCATATCTTTGTGTATTTTTCATTAAGGGTGTATGCATGAAGTACAAAATAACTGTTCAAAACAATCAAACTAGGATCTCCCTCTGTGCATCATCTCTTCCTCCTGTCTGGCTCGCTCTTGCACCCCCGTCTCTCCTCGCGCTAGAGCGAGCTAGTGTTACAACTTCATGTTAACCACACAGACAGCTGCACTTTCTGCACTCAGCCTACGCGTGCATTCGCTGTGTTACCAAACCATAGAACGTACATATGAATACACAATATGCCAAACAAATAATCCGTCCATATATTTGCCGCGTTGTTGTATAAACCACAGGGTTCAAAGTGTGAGGAAAAAGTAGCAGCTTATAGTCCAGAAATTGTGGCAAAAATGCAGGATTTGTGTGTGAATGAAACAAAACACAACTCCAGGTCAAGGCTGGGTGTCATTAAGAAGTTGCCGATACGATACATACCTTGAGACATGGGCCATGATACGATACATATCTCAATACAGTGAGCTTTCGATTCAGTACAGTTCGTTACGATATATTACAAATAATTCTGGTACGATTCAATAAAAAATAATGGCTAAATCATGGCTGTGATATTATGCCTTTATTAAACCACTTCTTGTGCAAAGTTAATATGAAACACATCCATTTTAATCACAAAAACTGCGAAAATGTCAAATGTGTCACATAAATGAGTTTTCTTCCACGAAACAACAAAACTGTAGCGCTGTAACAAAATAATTTTGTAAAATATACACACAAAAAAATACTCTTGACAGTATATCAATACAGCACCCTACGATATCAATACTGTATCATCACATTCAACGATACCATATATCGATATTTAGATATTTTTGCACACCCCTACTCCAGGTATGTTTGTGATGAGAAAACAACAACAGTTCAAAAAATAGTGTAATGTGGGCCCTTTAAACAGCACATTTCTTACATTGCATCTTACTGTTACGTCATGATTATCTCTAAGCCCTGTTGAGCTTTTCCTGCATGCTGATGTATACCCTCAGGTTATTATAGTTTTTGTCATTTACAGGTATGATCACTTGGTGGCGATAGAGCGCAGTGGACGTGCTGCAGATGGAAACTACTACAACATGAGAGGAGTCAACATTAAGCACTTGTTGGATCCCATTGACAATCTGTTTATCGCTGCTAAAGACATACCAGGCATTCGTACCACAGGTGGGTCACGCAAGATTATAATGAAAACTGAACATGTATTATAAGTAAAATAAATGTTACAAGCTACTTTCTAACCACAGCTCAAACTAAACATAAAAATAACAACTTCGATTTAAAGGTGCACTATCTAAACACATATAATTAAATAAAGGCACAATAGAAGTTTAATGCCGTACTGTGGAATACTCCAGGCAAAGCAATAACATTAAAGGGCCCATATTAGGCTATTTTTAGATTTAAGTTATAATGTTATTTCCTCATGAAAACATACCCAGACTTGTGCTCCACTTCACTAGAATTCACTAGAATAATTTGGATAATTGCAGACCTGGAATTGCCAATCTCTACTGAACAAACGGTAAAAGGTAGCAGTTAATTTAAAAACTACGCTTCCTGATATCACAAGGTGGAACAGAGCATTTAGACTTTTGGAAATATAGACAGACTAGTAAGGATTACTCAAACATGTGTGAATGAAAAAAAACACAACTCCAGGTCTGTTTTTGAGGAGGTAACAGCACTATAACATGACTAAAAGCTCACAAGAGTACATTTTGTGTAATATAGGACCTTTAAGCAGATAACATTACATAACATTTCTTCTGATACTTACAGGAATTGGTGATGGTGGTAATGAGCTGGGGATGGGTAAACTGAGGGAGCGAGTGAAGAATTATATGCCCAAAGGAGAGCTCATCGCCTGTGATGTACCTGCAGACTACGCCATCACCTGTGGTATGTGGTATTTTCAAATTATTGTTTTAAACTCGGTGTAATAGATTTTTACTCTCTTAAAAATGTGAAAACAGAACAAGTTCATTTTAAACAGTTTGCAGTGGTCCAAAGTTATTCCTCACTTTCTTTATTATTTGCCATTTGTAGTTAAAAAACACTTGAAAAACATTGTACTTTTCACAACTTTAAGAGATCAGTACAGAGTTTAAACTCACAGTAAATCTAAAAATACATTGATTAAGCCCTATTAAAACTATAAAACTATTCAGAAAAGGTAAAACATTTATTTGTATTCAATATCAAAACCTTGCTTAAATGAGTATGTATTAATAATTTCAATACTTACTCATTTAAGGATGTATTAATAATTTTGGTTTTGATTAGGTATTTGCATATACATTTTTTACAACTCTGATGTTAGATGTATAATTTTAGGAAAGGTTGTGTTAGTGATTTTTTTAACTAAATAATATAACATTGAGGCGGACCGTAGTTAAATAGTACATACCAAAATCTGTAGTAAACGATTTTAAATGCAATGAATAATCTTTCTCTCACTGTCGCCCCCTGCAGGCGTGTCTAACTGGGGAGGGTATGCAGTGTGTTGTGGTTTATTCCTGCTCCAGTCGTGTCCTTCACATCAGAGATACTTAAAGAAGGGATTGGGACTGAAACATAAACAGTGTAAAGAAAATGGACTAAACCAGTGGAGCTCAGGACTCCCCTCTGTGGAGAAGGTAAATACATACTCAACAAACCCACTCAGTTATTTTAAGCTCAGTTTCTATACAAGATTACAATTTATACCATACACCATAACAACAGAGAGTTCAGTCCAGTATTAGACTGGGTCACTCTTGGCTTTGTCTTTTATTTTGACAGTTTGACTAGTAAATGAAGGCATGTGCAATTTTTATTTTAAATTAACTGAACTTACTGCTCCAAATATGCAATAATATTGTTAGAATTTAATACTAAATACCAGAAAAGGGCATAATATGTCTTGAAATTTTGCCTTAATTGTCTTTATGTCTTAAATTGTTTGATTTCCAGGAGGAGACTTTTCTATCCACTCTGATGCACTTTGGGGTTAGAAGTGGGAAAACTGGAAACTTGGCAATGGAGGTGGATGGGCTGACCTTTCACCCCACACACTCTGACCTCATCACCAGACTGCTACAGGTCACCCACTCCACATGACCTCTGACCTCTGACCTCTAACTGAAACTGTCAGGATTTTGAAGTACTAAAGGTGGCATTGTTCCATATACAAATAAGAATGTGGTTCTCTACTTTTAACTTATCTTTAATATTAGTGGATTTCAGTGAAATGCATAATTTTCAGGACTTTTTCCTATTCAAAAGACCCATCAGTCTGCGTGACCATGTTTGTTTTGGTTCATTTGGGTGCTTCACCCTTGCCTTCTGCACAAACAACAATCATAAGCTAAATTAGTAAATGAGCAATATAAAAAATGTTGATGTAGTTTTTGTTTCATTCATGTGTGTTTAGTTTAAGGGGCATTGTGTAACTGTGCTGGTGCTAGTCCCATTTGCCTGGAATGTTCTAGAGTATGGCATTAAGATTATCAATCTCCATGGAAACAAGGTGATCCCGCCAGGCCAAGCTACAAGTCAGATCTGCGAAGAGGGAACCCTGCTTACTGTGCTTTATTTCCCCTAGCAATAAAAACACAATTAAAACAATAAAATAAAAACATAAAGTTAAATGTACTTAGATTAATAGAGTCGTTTTAGATTTTTTGCAGTACATTGGGATCAGTAGCATTTATTGTAACTTTGTTGTAACTTGAATTAATAAATCAGATGTTTTTGATGTTTTGTTTTTATTTCTCCATTAAATAAATGTAGAAAAAGAAAATATTTTTTTATTATGTAACTTTCTGGGGGTGAGACGTCATCTGTATAATTCAATGGAAACAGAAAGTTGAAATCATACTTCCGTACATTCTTCCTGGATATAAATACATTTTATGCAGTATTGTGGAAGATTACAGTCAAAGCAAGTGCGCTCACAGTAAGGACACATTTTTCAGCACAATAAAAAAAAATTAAAGGTAAAATAAATTAATAATAACATGATTTTATTTTAGTCTATTGCTAAAAAGTTGCATACAGTGCTTTTAAAATTAAATTGTCATAAGACTTTTTTTACAATGTCAACATGGTCTGTACGATTTTGAACGATATTAAGACCTCAGATTATCTCCAAACTCCCACTGCAACTGAATCTCACATGAAGCTCATGACGGGAATGCGCGCACTGTTAAGGAGCGATAGCAAAGCGATGGCACAGTTAACTTTATCACTGCTTTGTTTAAAGGTTGATGCTTTTTATCTACTACCAAACTAACTACCAAACCTTTCTGGCTCTCGTGTATGCAGTTGTTTGTTCAGAGACATGTCAGAGGCTTGTCCCAGCTCACCTGCCTCACCTCCAGCCCCGCTCCAGCCCACGCGAGCTGTGTTTACGCCTGCGGCTGGATTTTTCGTGCACATGCTGCTCTCAACACGTGTCCTGTCGATTTGAGCTACTTAGCTACTTACTGCACATGCGCACAACCCCAAAGCGATTTGAGCTACTTGAGCAGATCCATGTACTCGAGGCAGAAGTGGGGTAACAAGTAACACTGTAAACTGGTTTTATTGTATGCATGCAAGCAATGACATGTGCATTTTAGATCTGTGGCTGAATATCTACGTTAGATGATTTAATAGTTTGGATTGAATATTTGATTTTATCGTTATCAGTTTCATTACATCATCTTTTATTTTGTTTCCATGTGTAGAAAACGTAACTTTGTTTAGAAAGACGCTGTAAAAATAAAATATCTTATAGTAGGAAATTATAGTATACTATAGCCTATGATATAGAGCGTTAAATATTTCAGAAAATGTCAGTGTTTCCAGTCATTTCTTTCTGTTATATACAATGGTTAGACTAGAGCCTTATTTGATAGAGGATATAGGTCTGTCGAAATGAGCTACCTCTGCCCAAATTCATCTAAATGAGTGAATAATGGTGATTTAACAGTAGCATTATTCGACGGCAAAATTGGCCTGTCAGTATGTGCTACCTTTAGTCTGAGCCCTATTTGATAGCGCAATACGACTGTCGAAATGAACTACACATAGTCATATAAATGAGTTGAAACTGGACATAACTAAGTTATAAAGTTTGCCGTGTCATCGTGTGCAAACAACATCAAACCCGCTGTCTCTAATCCAAAGAAATATGCTGTAAACTGGGGAGGTCAGCTTTATTGGATCTATACAACTGTAAACAGAAAAAAGTAAGGTCGCTTATTTCGACGGGAAACTGTGAATCGATAGATGTCACTATCGATTTAGGCTGAAGGTAGCTCATTTTGATGGGGCAGCCCATTTTGACAGCACTCGGCTCCTACGACTCACAACAAATATTAAACATGTCTGATGATCTCTCTAAGCTGTCATGCGTTCATCGTGAGTAGGTGATAGCAGCTTGTAACCCTTTGGACACTACATGAAATGGTGCATTATGTAACTTTTCTGCTGGAGATTCCGTCAAATGCTTTTCTCCACTGCATTGTCTGGAATGTTTCACAGTATGCACAGTATACTTTTCTATAGTGATGGGCGAGTGGAGCCTCGTGAAGCATTGACACCTCAGTCGCAATATTGTCTCAAATGGTTCGACGTGTCTGAGGCCTCGGAGAAACACTGACCTTTAGTGGACAAATTTGACCATTGGCACGATGCAGGTGTCTCAGCATCGATGAAGTATTGTTAGTGTAAGACAATACTTGTGTGAAGAGCAAACACCGTACCTAACAACAACAACAATAATGATGATTTAAAATAATATGTAAAGAGCAACATAAATAGCAGCTGTAAATAAGAAAATAGGTGTTACCTTGTTAGGTGGAATTAGATCAAAGTGATCCCAAACCATGGATCGTTTTTTTCCACTTGTAGATGCCATCGAAAATGAAACAAATGCCAAAAGTCGCCAAAATCACCACTAACGTCACTCACTACCCAACATTTTTAAGAAATATTGGTTCATCTTTTATACTGTAGCAGTTTAGCGCTCGTCAAACCACAGAAGTGCACTGAACACTCTGAAGCACTCTGACCCAATCACAGAGCGGAACATTCGCTGAGCCAATGAAACGCTTCGATACACTGAAGCGACTGACACACAGAGTGAAGCAGTCGGGGGAGGGACCGACACTTGGACACTTCGGTCACGTGAGCGGCTGCTGCGAGACGAGCTCTGAGGCAGTGCTTCAGAGTGATTTGTCTCAGAAAGAACGAGACGTGCTCCGGAGCTCCGACTCATTTGCCCATCACTACTTTTCTATCTTCATGGAGATCAAACCAGACCAAATTACGGGTCAGATCTGTGGAGAGGTGACCCCACTCACAGTCAGAATGCCTTTTATAGCTCAAGTATTTTTGAGCTATAAAACTACCTGTAATCGAAGAAATATAAAGTAGTCTAATGTCATACTGTGAAACATTCCAAGCAGAGCAGTGACATATCCATAGAAACAAGCAGGTGATGGGCCCTCTACCAGAAAGCTTGCACAGTGCACCTTTAAGTAAACTAACACCAGACAAACAAACAGGCAAGGAAAACCTGTACTTGACTACACCCACTCGGGAGAGGAGACCCTTGCTATGTTGAGAATTATAGTTTCACAATGGAGTTAAGCGTGGCAACCCTCAGTCCTGCAGATTTAAGGCTATTGATCCGAAATGAAGACCCAAGAATCACCACAACGTCAGGACTTGCAAATGGTAAGGACTAACATCATTAAAAGTGCATTATGTAACTTTTTGGTTGGGGATCTGTCACCTGTTTGTTTCTATGGTTATGTCATTCCTGTGTCTAGAATGTTCCACAGTATGACAAACTGCTCTACTTTATATTTATTCAATTACAGGTGGTTTTATAGCTCCGAAATACTTAGAAAAACAGGCTTTCTGACTGGGAACGGGGTCGCCTCTCCATAGATCTGATCTGTAACATACTGTGAAACTTCCAAGACAAAGCAATAACATCTCCATCGAGCAAAGCATTTGATGGACCCTCCACTAGAAAAGTTACACAATGCACATTTAAAGGAGCTGTAACTCAAAACAGAACTAGGTCACTGGGCCAATGTCATTCCTCAAGTACCTTTTGCATTCTGAGTCAGTCAGTTAAAGAGGTTATAATTGCTTTTAAAGTAGCCAGGTGAGTTTTGCTGTGAGGTAACCATGTATTTCCTAATTCCTGATTCTGAATGGATGAATGAATGTTTGTAAATGTCACGCAGATTTTATATTTTATTTTAACCAGTGTGTGTCTTAGGTTTTTTGCAGGTTTTTTAGAATTTATTATTACCGTCTATATTTTTGCTCTTTCTTATTATATTATATTGTGTTGTGTCCAATACTCTGTCCAATACTTTCCCTTGTGGATCAATAAAGTTATAAATAAAGTCTAAGATTATTATAATTAGATGCAGACAGTACACAGCAGATTTATTCTGACAATATGTCTGTACTAATTCAAGACACAGTTTCCTCAAATACATGGGAAATAAACTGAATACAGGGCCGTTAAAGGTGCACTGTGTAACTTTTTGGTCGGGGTCCCTCACCTGCTCGTTTCTATGGATACGTCATTGCTCTGTCTTGAATGTTCCACAGTATGACATTAAACAGCTCTACTTTATATTTATTCAATTACAGGTGTTTTTTTTCTGATTAAAAGTACCTAGACAAACAGACATTCTGACTGGGAGTGGGGTCGCCTCTCCACAGGTCTGACCTGTAAATTGGCCTGGTTTGGTCTCCATGAAGATAGAAAAGTTTAGTGCCATTGTTAGGATAAATAACTAGGCTTATGTGGTGTATAACTACTGCTATGATGTAACTGATGTGCTGCTATACAGTTATTGATGTACTGCTATATTTTATTATTGTACTATTAGAAATCACTCTACAATGACCCAGAAAACAGGGACTAGATTACAGCTGAGGGATGCAGAGATAGGTTCAGTTCATATAAAATATATTCTATTTCTATCTATCTGTCTAATCAATTAACTAAATAGGGCAGGGACTTATTGATAGGGCTATGTTGACTCACAACTCATCACCCTGATCAGACCAGCAAGATGCTCCTGTAAGGGGAGTGAGATGAATCTGGAGGATCTTTGTCACAATCGGATAAGATTGCGCAACGTGCCAAGAGGCCTGGCTCACCTGTGCACCAACGAAGAGGCACTAAGTCTAAACCATGGTCACCTGCCACTATAGTTTGCGTATAAAAATCATTGTATAGGCATAAATATTCAGTCTCTGCATGGGAATGTCAGCACAGACTCCTTGAACAAGTATGACTTATCAAATATTGGAATAAGTAAATTATCTGGACTTTATTTCTCTTTCAAGTGTAATTTTTTGGCTAAGCAGAAACTAACGAACATGCGAGGAAAAGGTATTTTCCTCAACTATGGAGTAAGAAAGCTTTCAAAAATATTAGTGCGCATAGAATAGAAATCCGTGCGTATTTGGTAAATCTGTGCATATTTGGCTGTAGTTGCGCATAAAATAAATATTTGTAAACTC